ACAAATATCTGTAATTGCTGAAAAGCCCCTGTGAGCCCCCTTTATTCTTTTTGGAAGACTGCGCCATCATCAACAAATCGAACCGTCCTTACAGTCATTTTCTGAAGAAGTAAAAACACAACACTCTATTATTATCTTGTGAGGACAGCATACAGTACAACAGTGTATATTACTTACTTATGAATAAAACAGACTCACAATAAGATGAATTACAATGCAGATTCATGTTTTAAAACTCCTTTGTGTTACATTCAGTTCTCATGAGATTTTGAAGATGTGGCCATTGATGTGGCAGGTGATTGACAGGAACAAATGACAAAAGGCCAAATATGGAGTAATAAGACTAATTTTCTTTTGCATTGGCTCATGAATTTAACTGACAAATAAGATAATCAATACAAACAACTCTAGCAAAGTTAAATATGAAAGTGTGGTGAATGTCAGGAGTATTATTCCAAGATATTCCGCTGGAGATAATGCCACATGCTGTTACATGTGCTACCAAACTCTATTCACATTTCGACAGCTTAAAGCCTCGCCTGAAAATGAAATTATTCCTTTTAAGACAGTTGTAAACATAGCATACACCAAACTAGTAAAGCTGTAAGTACCATCCACCACATACAGCACTTGTTTACTAAAAATGCTTCTCCACAGGCCGACTATGATGGGCTGCAGCGATCAACATGTGACCAAACCATGTTTTTTTAAAAGCTTACTACCATTTACAGAGACCTGCTTAATGAGTTGTAATAAAGCCGAATTGACCACTGACCAATAGAGGTTCAGAATGAGCAGGGAAGTGTGTTTTATGCTGTGTTTATATTTGTTGGTAGCTCAAACCAACTATAAATGACAGATTTTTCGACAGAGTTTGGTGTCAGTTCTGCATAGCTTACGCCACGTCAAACAACAAGACGATAAACCTCGATTAATGTCACGCAAGATTAATGTGAGAGGTTAACTAGTTGACTCAAATCACAGGAGTAACGTTACGACATGACATTTTTATATTATATAATCATTTACATTACCTTTTGAGGTAGCACGTGTACAGTCTGAACGATGCCTGGACATGTTTCTTCTTCTTCTTCTTCTTCTTCTCTTGAAATAAACGGCGTAGCGTAAACAGCGTCATGATGTATACCGCCACCTGCTGTACAGGAGTGAGTACTACCACAGTATTTTAACCCATATCTTTCACCTACCCTCCAGCACAAGAGATGTCTTATTTAAAATGTCTTATTTAAAGTACAAAGGAAGCTTATCTCCACCTCCAGAACTAAAAGAGGTTCAATGTATTTATCCTTCAGGAGATCTTCTCAGAAAAAAGGTAAATATTGATCACAATAGATATTTGTCTGTAGTGAAGAAAATGAAAACTTCTTTTGTCTTTATAGCAATACTTTCTGGTGTGATTTGTATGATTGGCTAGATAAAAATATTATATTACTCCCATTTTCCTACAATCTATTATTATGAAACAAGACTTAGTACTAGTATTTCTACTTTATATGAGTGAATGTGACAAAAAGGAAAACTGAAACATTAAAAGGGATAGTTCGCTCTTCTCTATTGTTACCTTTTGACATGAAGAAGTGGTATCCTTCTATGCTCTTATCAAAGACACCAGTCTCAATAACCTCCCAGAAAATGGCGGTTGGTGGCGATGGGCTCCCACTGCAACCATTGGTTAGTAGCCTATGTCCATATTAAAGTGGGACTTTGTTGAATCCAACCAATCAAAGTCACACAAACTATCGGGCGAAAGCAGAGGAAGACCTTCACCCTCCCTGAGCTTTTTGAACTCCTTTTAGCTCAATGTTTTGGTTTTCAGGTCGGTAATTTATTTTTGGTTCACTCTCACTGAAGAGGTTTTCAAAACAGATGCACACTACCTGCTCAACACTAAGCAGTAGTTAGAGACTAGCTGGTGAACATGGTGGTGCACATAGCGGCTACAAAGAATGAGATATTACCCCAGTTGATGGAGAACAAAAAAGAGCAAAGAAAAGTGTACATAGGACATCCAAATTAATATATAGTATAAATATAATGCTATCTTTTATGTTTGTGGGATGAATTGCCTTGTTGCATGTGACGGAAGCGCATATTAACGTATATGTTAGTGTTGGGAAACAGTGTCTTAAAGGTCCCATGTCATGGCCATTTCTACTGATCATAATTCCATTGTTGAGGTATACTAGAATAGATTTATATTGTTCAATGTTCCAAACTCACATTGGTTTCTCATACAGCATCTCTGTATAGTATGTGTATTCACTCTCTGTCCTACACGGCTTGTTGGAGCTCCTGCCCCCCCCCTCTACTGTGCTCTGATTGGTCAGCTCGCCCACTCTGTTCTGATGAGTCCACCCCCGTTACAGCGGAACATCAGTGATTATGTGTTACAATGGCGTTTGTTAGCAACCAGAAAATGACACCAGTAATGACAAACAGATGAGAATGCTGCGTGGGGTCTGGGTGCCGTGTTGGCGGGACGTTGCGCGGCTCGCTGCTGCGAGGAGCGGGCAGTGTGAGCTCGGTTCATTTCCTGCTTGCTGCGTGAGGTCTGCGAGACAGCGAGACATCGCGAATGGACGCGGGAAGGAGGGGGTGCTGAGGGGGCTGCAGCACCCCCATCTGCGAGGCTCCACTAGCTAAAAAACTGAATCAGGATCTGATATTGTCTAATTAAATGTCCAAATAGGTTACAAAGCACACTGTTGGCTAACCCAAGAAAGCTGGAAGATATGTAAATCCGGATTTCCACTTTCATTATGTTTATCTTTTAATCTTTCCCAGCATTCCCATCGACAGATACTGACATTCATGAGAGTCATTGAGCTGCATTTCTGCAGAGCCTTATGTAGGTTAGTAAAGCTCTGAAGATATGAGCGTCACTCTGGGTTGTGATATATTGTATTTAATATGTTTTTTCAAATATAAAACAAAGCGTGCTGCAGGTGGAGCTGTACATTTTGTTTTGCTACGTGGCTCTAAATAGCTTTGTCATTCAAACCCATGAACACACAAAGCCTGAACTCGGCCCCCCAGCTCAGGCTATAGGGAGCGAACACAGAGGAGCTTTGTTTGGGCCCAATCCATCTAAATGTGTTCCCCAAATCGCTTTATTAGATCAGGCCTGATTTTCAGATTACTGCTTCGACTGCTTGCTCCTTCATTGTTGCATCAGAAGAAAAGCGTCTGTTGGTGACGTTAGTGTTAGGGTCAGAGAGAGGAAGATGGCCGACTTACAAACAACCACAGGAAAGATTTTGTTTGTTATTTGTTAATAGTCTATTAAGGGTACTGATACCTGACTGGTTCACTCGTAAATAAGCTTCCTGTACTCTTTTCAGCTAATCCGAAACTCAGATCGTAGAAACTCCAACACTGGACAGAGGTATATGTCAATTGCATGTTTTTATCAACTAATAAAATCAAGACTGTTCTGGTGGTCTTGATGTTTGGCATGCTCGACATTTGGTTGTGGCGTTCCCAGTTCAGGTCAACCTGGAAATCTTTGTTGCAAAGAAGAATTAAAGATCCAGAGTGTAGGATTTAGAGAGCTCTATGAACTGTAGTTGAATATATTTTAATAACAATGTTTTCATTTGTTTAAAAATCATCTGAAGATAAGAATTGTTGTGTTTTTGTTAGCTTAAAATGTACTCTTCCTATCGTCTTCCACTTTATTGCATGCCATTTTGCACCACTTTTGTTTTAGTAGGACAGGATGGACAAACCAATCCTTTTGTCATTCTCTTGCACATTTTATTTGTATTTATGGGGTCTTTAAAGTACAGTATACAAACCCACAATACATTTTGTTATAAATAAACAGCGAGTGATGCATCATCTTCACTCGAAAACAATTGTGTGAGATTGTTCTGTGCAAGCTTAAACAACATTTTTCTCTGAAGGGATCTCATGAGTTGAATTTGTTCAGTGGATCAGTGGCACCTCGACATCATGAGTGTGTTTGGGGATTACTAAATACGTGCACAAAGTGGATTTGAAACCATGAATTCCATGAAGTCCTTTACGGATAAAACAACAGAAAATAAAAAGGTACCACAAGTTTGATTCAGAATATGAATATATGAATATAAAACAAATGTTTAGGAATGATTGATAAGACTTTTTCACTCAAAGGCTATGTGTACTGTCCAGTGGGTCTTTGTTAATTTCTTTTAACACACCTCTCTGTGGCTCATAGAGATTCATTTAGAGATTTTTGTTGCACATGTGTCCGATTAGATGGGAGTGTTCACAGAACTGATCACGTTATATAAACCTTTATATTACTCTCAGCTCCTAATGCTAATAAAATGTTTACATGAGAACCACACACATGGAGTTCTGGATAGTTTGGGGTTAACTTTTACAGCTATGAATGCGCTTAAGGCAAAAACCAAACCCTTGTGATATGGGTGAAATGAGAATTTAAAAAAAAGTGAAAAACATTTTATTAAGTCACACAAAGACATCTTTATCTAAATCCCAGCTGTTTTTGGATGCTCATTCTAGGAAAAGCAATAGTTTTTGTTGCTGTTGCTGGTCACATTAAACATTTCACAATAGCAGAAACAGACTGAATTTAACATCATATCTCTAAACATGTGAAACAGATCTCTCACCCGAGCGTGCTCACGTTGGACAAATCAAACTGCGAATCGGCAGTCACAATGGTCACTTTTTTTACTCAAGTCTCCTTGGAATGCAATCAAATCCATCCTCCCCCTTAAAACAGCTCTTACCTAAAGTAGTGTATTTAAAATTACATCATATGAAAAGTGCACTGGCCCTGCCTTTTATCACCAGAGACCCTCCATCATTGGCCCAACACTCTCCCCATCACTTCCTCCCACCCTCTGCCACCTTTATGCTGATTGGAAACAAAAAAAGTCGAATGTAATCTGGCGTGACGCGACTAATCCCAGCACTACAAATCATAGGAGCCGCGCACCTCGCTCCACACAGACGAGCCCTCGCCAGCAACCTCACATCTGCCTCAGGTAAGTCCTCTCCGTGATGTGCTGCTTCACTTCTCTTTTCCTCTTCAGATTGTGAGTTGTGAAACTCTGCAGCTGTTCTCTGCTTCTCTGTAGTTAAACTTTTGTTAAAGGTGCAGTGATTTTGACATTGTTGTCTTATAAAGTGGCATGAAGTAAAAAAAAAAGGGTGCCTTTAACTCCCTAACACACTTTTCTTCTTGGATCTTGAGGTATTTGAGGGCTGGATCTAATTAAGTGAAGACTATTATAAGACTGCGTAGATGCATCATGGGACTTACTGATGAGGTTCATTCTGTGAACCACAATCACTTGTAGTTCTGCAGATTTGGGTAAAATGCCAAATATTTATAATATGATAATAATATAAATATGTCTTGCACGCACCAGTCGGACACACTTGTATTCTGTCCTTTGAAATGTGCTGCAGTGAGACAAAACAGCAGGTGGAAGGTCTTTTAGTCTTCTGAATCCAAATAAAATGGGGTAGTAATTTATTTTAAACAGTCGTTAATGCTTGTTTGCACATCAAACCCATGAGAAAAATGCTCAAAGTGTCCAAAGAATTACAGGGAAACGTGTGTAAAAAGATGTGAAAGGCATTTAAAATGAAGTTGCAGCCACACAAGTGAACTTTTTTCCACTCAGTTGAAGTATGATATTAAATAATGGCTGCAACTAAAGATTATTTCATCACGATTATACTGCTGGTTATTGTAAAAGTGTGGTCTGTGAAATGACACATTTAGTGTAGAGAAATATTCAAACACGTCCATCACAATTGCTAAAAGCCCAAGATAATGTCTTCATATCGCTTGTGTCATTTGAGTTAAGAAATCAAATGTACCATCACACATCCTACAGAGAGATAGGTTGTATTTTTACTTGAGAAGTGATTAATATGGCGTATGTCGCAGTGGGTTAGTGTGCTGATCTTCGAATCAGAGGATAGCAAGTTCGAGTCCCACTGCAGTCAGCATGTTGTTGTGTCCCTGCAAGACACTTCACCCCAAATTGCTCCTGTGGGGATTGCCCACAGTATTGGGTATGTAAGTCGCTTTTGGATAAACAACAAGTAACATGTAATGTAATGTAATTAATCCATTGTTATAATAGATGCAGATACATAGCCTGTAAAACAATCAATTGATTCATATTAAAACAGCAGGAGGCATGTGCTACAACACACTGTGAGACTTTTAATCTTCTTATGGAAGATTTAAGGGAGCACTTAGGTTTGGTTTTACAAATAATACAAACTGAATTTCTCAACAATGAACGCCATACAGAGTGTGTCGGCATTATACTAAAGAGATTAAGCTTTGACAACAACTGAGAGCCTGTTGATTATGAAATTGTCGACCCTAAATCTCCTGATAATTCATCCAGGAATGAACGAGAGCTAAATATAGGCTCCAAGTCAAGGTACCCTGTGACAGCAGAGAGGGTGAGATGAAGAGGGATTACAGTGCAGAACAATGTGTCAATTGTTTTTGTATTTTTACCTCCTTTTCTATTTCTTACAGACAGAACAAAGCTGACATAAAGAGCAGAAGACATGGCTGTGGTTGTGAGTATTTCCACTTTGAGTTTACTTACTCATTTTGCCCTAAGAAAACGAATCAATGCTGATCATTTACTGAGCTAAAATTGAGTAATGCTCCAAAACTAAAATGTATTAATCTCCCTGCAACATGGACTCAGCTGCGGCTCAACATTTCTCAACACCAAAGGCCATTGTTGTGGATGCCGTCCACAGCTACTGTAGCCTTAGCCGCTAATCTCTACTAGTAGTCTTTACCATGTATTTACAGGCTTTACTGGAGCCATGTGAGGGAGATTAATAAACACTGAGGTCTATTGATTGTTGTTCCTGCAACACTGGTGGAAAGGCATTTTGTCTCACGTGGATAAGAAGCGTTTTAAACCTCACCCACAGGTACAACTAAAGTCTTGTAAGGGAATTATATTGACGTGTTTGGCTTCCATCCAGAGCGAAATGCAACGGTAGATACAAGCTTATATATCCAGATTTACTAGCAGTCAATGGGACAATAAGCTATCCCCATGAGTGAGTATCCATAATAGCAGGGCACTGCATTTGGTCCAGCATCCATTATTAATGTTATTAACAACACCTGTGCTTCTCCTGCTATGATCAACTATCCACTGTGGAAATAACTTATTCAGGTGTGGACAAAAGTGCAACAGCCTGCTGAACAGAGACAATTGTTGTCATTATTGATAGTCATGGGATTCTGTGTTCTGACATCAATGATCTGTTAGTTTGCAAAGACAGAAATAGTTTTGTTCCACTCCTTACTATGAAGCACTTATATTGCAACTTGCCTCCGTACTTTTTGGGTGAATGTCAAGTTCTGATATGGCTGTGTGTGTTTGTGTGTGTGTTTGAAGCAACCACATCAAAGAGGTTCAAATCAATTCAACAACTAAAAAATATATATCATTGAGGTCATGAAGTGCAAAACCAAGCTGTATAGAAGCCAGTAAAATAAATACAATGAAAACTGGAATGGATAGTCTTACTAATGTGAACAAAATCAAATAAAAATGACCTGGTTAAACAAAATCATTTCTGTAAAGGTTTTAACAAATTAATTTGTCAACATTGTTTTTCTCTCTTATCACTTGTTTTTTTGTCATTGACTATAAAAAAATGGGCTTTTATTCAACTAATCTTTACTGTTCGAACATATTAAGTGAAAAGTCTTTACAACAATACTTTTGCATCTCTTTTCAGAGTGGAACTTACCGTATGGTGTCGGAGGAGGAGCAGGCTCTCCGGGCCAAGCTGGAGCGTCTCACCGTCAAGGACCACGGGCCGGTGTTCGGACCCTGCGCCAGCCTGCCGGACCACACCAAGCAGAAGGTGAACACTCCAAAAAATCAGAACACAAAACATAGTTCAGCTTTAAGAGTTGAATCACTATACTGCAATATATTACTCATGATGTATTGAACTATATCTAATAATAGGATGAATACAGAAAGCAAAGCTCGTTCTTTTCAAAGTGAGAGATGAGTTTATCATGTAACATCAGCAAACATAGGCAGCTGAAAAGAGCCAGGCTATGCGTTTACGCTTACATTAATTCGCAAATGTTTTATTCCTGTAGTAACAGTTTTTCACCTGTACAAACCCATCTGCATTACTTTCCCTCATGTTAATCTAAACTAAACTACAGTTGATTTGATTTTAAATGTTGTAAGTATAAAATAATGCTGCATTTTCAACAGCACAAAGGTATAATCTGGCATTAGTAAACACTAAAACAGTGTTAAAGCAAACTCAAATCACAGTGTCGGCTAAATATCTTAGTGTATGTATTCTTCAGTCAGAGGGTAAAAGGCTGGCTACGCTAGTTAGCTCGCGCGCAATCAAAAGCACGGTTAGACTGAATATCAGGGAAATAAAATGGTCAGATTAAACCAAATTGAAACAAAGCATTGTCAAACTGTACTCCGTACTCGCAACATTAATAATCATACCGTTCCATTAACTTTTTCACAATATCTGTTCACAGTAAAACCCTAACACTCAACTGTATGAAACAATACAGTTTAATTCTGAGCTAACGGTCTGCTGCGGCTCCCCCTGCAGGCCAAGGACGAGCTGAGCGAGACAGATGAGAAGAAAGTGTCAGCAGTGAAGGAACTGCGAGAGATAATAAAGGAGAAGGCTGATGGAGGGGACGACCTGGCTAAGGGCGTGCAGGACACGTTTGGGGAGAAACCGGACGAGATGCTGGTCCGCTTCATCCGCGCCAGGAAGTACGACGTGTCCAGAGCCTACGACCTCATGAAGGGTAGGAAACTGTGACCTTTTTGAACATTAAAGCATGTAAACATGTCACAGTAGAGGCTCAAAATACAAATATGAACTTGAAAATTAGCATAATAGGGCCCCTTTAAGAAATGTAATGAATAAGGTTATATTGTTTCACTTGTTTTCGCTGAGCCTTACCTGAAACAGTTTGATCTGTTGGAGGCCCGTTTACCATTTTTGAAACCTCTGATCTAAAGTGTTATTGAACAGTTAAAATGTAATAAGATAAGATAAGATAAGATAAGACTTTATTTATCCTGAAGGAAATTGTTGTGCCAGAGTTACAAAAATACAATAAACACAGCAGCATAATAGTAAAACTGTACACTAAAAGTGCAGTAAAAAGAGCAACTAAATATCTACAGGAAACATGAAACATAGACGCTCACATAATTAATGTAAATATGACCAGTATTTAGTAGTGCAAAAAAACGTAGTAGCAGATACGTAATTGCACGTTATCATAGCACATTATTAATAATAATAATATTGCACAAGTCAAGGTTTCAAGGTTTTTATTTGTCATACGAACATAGCTGCAGTGTAGTTATGACGATGACAATCTTAGGTCAGAGGCTCACTCCAACAGTGCAACACAATAAAATAGATATGTATATAAGTTATATAGCAGCGAGTGTTTTGTAATGATGGTAATGATGTGTTGGTTTGGAAGTTCTCAGTTCTCAGTAATACTTCAATACTTGACACCAGAACATTCCTGGTGTGCCCCTTTAATCTGCTCCTGTGTTTCCTCTCAGGCTACGTGCGTTTCAGGAAGGATTACCCCGAGCTGTTTGAGAATCTGACCCCGGAGGCCGTACGCAGCACCATCGAGGCCGGATACCCCGGCATCCTGCAAAGCAGAGACAAGGACGGCCGCGTGGTTCTGCTCTTCAACATCGAGAACTGGGACTACGAGGAGATCACATTCGATGAGGTTTGTCAGAGAGAGTTTCTGGATGAAGGGTCCAATAATGCACCTACAAAAGCACTTATCTCAAACTAGTTTTCGTTGAAATGCTTAAACAACTTCTTTGCTGCCGTGTGGAAATACAAATGTACAGTAACAAAATATAAAGCAGGATATTATATATACATTAATTGTGCAAGGATCACAGTGTAAACAAATTCTGTCACAAATGAATTATCTGCATTCCGAATCTCAGTTATCATACACAATTATTAGCATACAAATAATAATGTGTGTGTGTGTGTGTGTGTGTGTGTGTGTGTGTGTGTGTGTGTGTGTGTGTGTGTGTGTGTGTGTGTGTGTGTGTGTGTGTGTGTGTGTGTGTGTGTGTGTGTGTGTGTGTGTGCGTGTTCAGATCCTGCGTGCGTACTGTGTGATCCTGGAGAAGCTGCTGGAGAACGAGGAGACTCAGATCAACGGGTTCTGCATCATCGAGAACTTTAAGGGCTTCACCATGCAGCAGGCGTCAGGAATCAAACCCACCGAGCTGAAGAAGATGGTGGACATGCTGCAGGTAGGAGAGAGCGATATTCTAGAAAAAACACAACAGATAAATAGCCAAGCTTGCATTTAAGTTTCAAATTGCTCTACTGTTTTTAAAGCTTGGGAACTCTGCATGAGTATACTAGAGTTAAGTGGAAAAGATGATACACACTAGACTAAATGATATTTATTTGATTATCCTTGAAGCAAAAAAGAGCACTTATAGCAACTTACAATGTGTTTTATCTGCCTTATATTACATGTTCCATTCATTCTCCTTACATTTCCTTACCCACACAAGGCAGTTTGCTTTACTCTACCAAGAAGAGTTGCTTGCAGGACTTCTCTTCAGTTTTCTTTAGAAGTTATATCACCAAACCTTGTGTCTTGTTCTTGTTCCACCAGGATTCATTCCCTGCCCGTTTCAAAGCTGTGCACTTCATCCACCAGCCCTGGTACTTCACCACCACCTACAACGTGGTCAAACCGCTGATGAAGGGCAAGCTGCTGGAGAGAGTGAGTCACACCAAGTGATCCTGTAATGACCGACTGCAACACTGCTGCTCCTGCCTCTCAGTCTGGGACACGCAGTCATGTTAGAGGAAACAGTCTGAACAGAGATAACATCGCACTCATTCATAATTTCATTTAGAAATTGCATGTAAAGTTACACTGCGTGTTGTAATATGACATTACATACAGTCTAATTATAGATTACATTTTATTCAACCTATTCACTTTTATCCAAAGCAACTGACAATAAGTGCAATCAACCAAGAGGTTCCAAATTCAGAACAGCCTTAGCATCGAGTAAGCCGAAACTTTTAAGGGCCACATATAGAATTAAGAGAGTTGTGAAAATAAAATGGTACGAACCATAAAAGTACACCGTTTTTAGCATCAAATATCTTAATTTAGCTTTTACATTTTGGATTTAACACATCAAATATTAAACAAAAAGTGATCCTGTAATGACTGCAACACTGCTGCTCCTGCCTTCAACCTTCAGTCTGAGATACAGTCATGTTAGAGGAAACTCCATCTTACTACTTTATCCTTGTATTTAGAAATTGTGTCTCAAGTTATAGTGTTATTTTTTATTATTACAATATTACATCACATTTGTTTAGCCTACACTTTTATCTAAAGCAACTTACAATAAGTGCAATCAACCAAGAGGATCCAAATTAAGAATAGCAAGAGCCTAAGCATCAAATAAGACAACTCTTTTAAGGGTTAAACACAACAATTAGACCTGTAATTTGTATCAGACCAGGTTGTGAAGTAAAATAGTACCGTTCACAAAAGTACACAATTTGTAGCTTTTGGATTCAAAACACAGAATGAATCCAATTTAATTATTAATCTATTTCTATTTCACTTCAGTAATGTTTTGGTTTAAAAAATGTCACATAACAGCACTTCCTTTTGATGTAAAATGATGCAGGCCTGCACTAATAATACAAATACCTATTATTCCCCAAAACGCCATTTTACATTGAACTTTATGCAGTATTTATGCAATTTCTGTCTGATCTGTTTACTAATTTTAACCATTTGTTGCACTCAATGTATAAAGACTTCCCACTTCAGAGTATAATAGGCCTTTACTCAAACTAGATTTCCTCTATTTCACATGTGTGACAGTCTCAGGTGTCTCTAACTGCTGCTGTTCTTTCTCTAGGTGTTCGTCCACGGAGACGAGCTGGAAAACTACCACAAGGAGTTCGACGCTGACATCCTTCCCTCTGAGTTCAATGGAAAAGGTTCCAAGTACGACGGCAAGGCCATAGCCACCAAACTGTTCGACTAAACATCCTCCTCCCTTCTTCTTCTGCACCAACGAGGCCGGGAGCTGTTATATATATATATTACACACCCTGCAGACTGTGGAGACTCAAGGCCCAGTTCTAGCTGTGTGGTTGTAGGGAGAAATGTTATGAAGAAAGTTTGTGACAAGGACGAATTATGTTGTTTTCCAGAAGTCCTGACAAAGCACAGTCCAACAGGACACCACTTACAGTACACTTAAATGATACCACGTTACACCTGTTTTGCTTGAAAATATGTAAAGATGTTACCGTAATTAAACAAATATTTAAGCACTCTGTGTTGCCTTTCTGCTTTCAGTACACTTGCTTGTCAAATAAGAAATTGAAGGAAATCAAATCTAGCATTCCTCTATTAAACACAATTCAACAATGAACAAAACACACACATAAAAAACAAAGATTATTACATTTAAAAGTGGAGTTTTCTACTGAAAGCTAGTGGAACATTGCAGAATTTAAATGTAAAAATGTATAACATATTCACGTTTATCCAAAAGAAAGTGCTTCTCATTTGTCTTTGAGATGTTCTGTCTCTCTCCTGTGCATCTGTGCTTTGTTTGGACTGTATTTCAGCCACACGGCTTGCTTCCAACTCTGGCAGCCTCCAGCTTTCTGAGTTTCCACCCTCTGCCCCCCCCCCCCCGTGTCTCCTTGAAGTACAAGGCTGAAATTCCAACAAATGCCTGTCTCTCTCTCTCTCTCTCTCTCTCTCTCTCGTGTGTTTTTTAGTATGAATATCATGAAGTTTTACCGCATCGAGCTTCCTGGTGCACCAATAAGAATGTCAACAAATGTACAATAAACTGTATATAAATATGAGTTGTGGGACAGTGGTAGAATGTAACCAGGTGCATTAGCTCAAGTACTGCCATTTTGTAAACTGTTCCACTCCACTGTATTTAAGAGGGTAAATATTGTTACTCATCTTATAAGTAAAGTGCTTTTCAAAAACATGTTCTGTTCATATGATATGATGCATAATCTATAGACTATCATACAAAGCACTCAAATGTGCTCAATGTTGAATAACTACATCTCTAAAATACGGTTGAATTTATTATTATTTATATATTCTAAAATAACTTCAGATGCTAATGTTATGATACTTTGAAAATGGCAATTCCTTACAATGTTTACATTTTGCCGACAATACTTCTGGACTTTGTAAGATATTGAATCCAGGAATTAAGTATTTATGTAGACTGTGGTATTTATACTTTCTATTAGTTAAAGTACTTCTACAATCACTGCTCATATCATACAAATGTAATCCATGTGATATAATTAGGAGTATTGGATGTTCTGGTGGGAAGAATATCAGTATAGCCTACATTTTTTGGCATGTGGGTATAATGTTTAAAAGCATGCCAACACACTACATACATGCCAACTAAAGCTGAGACTGGCCTATTTATTTTGCAGGTAAAAATACCCACATTTGACCTAATGATGGCGCTCGAGGAAAAGTCATGTGAACCCCATAGTCAGTATGAGTCATCATCTGAATCTGGAAAAGGTTAATAGTAAGTTAAATATTTCTGTCTGGACCGACAGACATTTCCATGGAACTGTAGATACTTGGCTAGGAAAAGGAAAACCTAGAGAGCTTACAATAAACAGACAGAAAAAAGGAATCTATGTGAAAAATATTTATTAATGGGTGAGTTATTACAAAAATGTGTCATGTCTGTGCAGAACATTAGAACAAAACACTTTAAGATTAGATTATAAACGTTACACCCATATGCTGAATCATACTATAGTGCCACAATACAAAAATAGTAACTGTAAAGACAGTAAAGTGCAAGCAAAAAGGTGAGAACATATTGCACAAATACAATAGTGGTGCTGTTGCAGATTATATTCAGTTTTTAAAAAGACAGAAAAAGAATTACAGTTTAGACTGATGATTGAAATATTGATTTATAAGACTTGCATGGAGTTGGGTGGAGTCCCCTGCATTTGTATATAGTGCGACAGGATGTTACACACAGGAAACTGTGACTAACATCAAATATGCACACCAAAGGACCAGAATAAACAGAAAACAGGATTTCTTCACATAAAATCACCTCCTTATTTGTCCATGTTTGAGACTTTTATCAACTTCTGAATCATAAGCCATAACAGAGGTGATTTCTGTGTGATAGTTTCCATCTGTTTTCTGTGTTTTAATGTAACAAAAACTTTATTTATGTTCTTGTGGAAAGTCCACCCATGTGTTAAGTAGCAATAAGCAGCTTAAAAACAAACCTGGAAAACCTTGGTCACTTATGTAACGTATAAATTAGCCCTTGTTCAAAGTGACGTCTAATGAGACCTCCATTGTTTTTGAGCCAAAGACACTGTTTTAAGGAAACCCCAAAACATTTTTTTTTTTTTTTTAAATCACCCAAAATGCAGCAGAATCATTAAAAAAAGTACAAAGTTGAGCTGCTTTTTCTAGAAAAGTGAAGAGTGCTTTGGTCCATTTCGTTTGCCAAGTGCATAAAGTGAAAGTCCATCTGGATTTCTGATTTAATACGCTTACTGTTTGTGTCCCGTTTGCTTGACCTAGCTCTGTCCAGAACAGTCATGCAGAATTTGTTCAGTAACACGTGTCCTAAATTCTTTAAAGGACTTTTACTAAGCAGCATTTAGGAAATAATACAGTCTGACCATCCTCATGCTTTTACAGCAGTTCATGGAATGGGACAAGCGGACATGGAGCCATACAAAGAGTACAATCTTAACGCGAGGCTGTATGAAGTGCCCACATTGTTATTAAACAAAACAGAAAAAAAACTTAAAATATGACTTTTTTTTAATCTCTTTAAAAAAAAAACTGACACCCTGATTCTTTCATTTGAATTGTCAGCAGCAACAAGGCCAGCTGTTGGTCCACTGCACACAATGGAAATGCAAAAAACTGACGTCAAATTGAGAAAAAGTACGCCAAAAATATATAAATAAACCAAACTGTTTTTTAACGTAGTTGTCCAGCATTAAAAAAGCAAACCCTTCCGAATGGAAACAAATGAGATGATATCGTATCAGTATACAGGAAATTACAATTTGACTCGGCGCGACAGATGTTTTGTTGAAATCACCACTGTAAACAATAAACCACGTCATACTGCTGCTTATCAGAGGTAGCTCAATGATTCATGAGAAGCCAGAGTCACATTTATATTAAGGCACTTCGAATACGATTGTGAACTCTACAGCTTCTGGAAGGCTTTTTACAAATAAGTATATTAAGGGTTAAGGGTTTAAAGGCTTCAGACTAGGATACATTTCCAGTTTTAACAAACAATATTATTTATTCTAGTTGTGCTAACTTTTAGCATCTAGGAAAGTTTTCAGTAGTTAATCGTGTAGAAACACATTTTTCTCTTTGTTCTACATGCAGGTTAAAGGTCATTTCCATCCTCTGGTTGCAGTGTGTTTCCCCCTCACTAATTATATCACCCTCAAGGAGCAGCAGCTGCCAAAAAAACCAGCAGAGGGTGAACTCGTGTTACACCGGGGGTTAACTGGGAACAAGAGGAACGACTAATTCAACCCTGGGGTCGTGTTACATTTGCAGGTATCTTATGCGAGTTTCCGTTTACACCTTACAGCTTCCACTTCAACTCTTCTAATCCATTTAGTGACTTCCTACATTTCCCATTAGTACTGAAGTAGAGCGAATACAGAAGAGTTTGCATGTTTTTGGTCTTGTGTTTAGTCTTCTGTGTGTTACCCGCTGAGTGTTTCCCCTGTGCTCTGCAGGCAGGCGTTAGAGTCCCGGTTGCTGCTCCGTTGGCACGCCGGCAGGTTCTTCTCCCAGTGGCAGATGGCGTTGGTGTACTCCACGATCACTTTGTCCATCCAGGTGAGCGGCTGAGGGAAGAGCACGGCCCCCTCGAAGAAGCCCAGGTGGCCTCCGTGTTGAGTCAGGGCGAATATCACATTGGGCATCTTTTCTACACACGGAAAGAGGGGTGAGATCAAATTAAAAACAACTCTGTTGGAGTGCAGTGTAAATCACAGCAAACCAAAATAAAGGTTACAGCACACACTAGGATCCAACTAAACATGGGGAAGCAGCGTTCAGTTATTATGCTCCAAATATCTGGAACACACTCCCAGAAACCTGCAGGGCCGCTGAAACTCTGACTACTTTTAAATCCAAGCTGAAGACTTTTCTTTTTGCCGCTGCTTTTAAATCACACTGCACTGTAACTTTTATTCATGTACCTTTGTTATTCATGTTTTATTAGCTTTGCTTTAAATAAGTGTTTTTAAATGCCATTTTACAATATGTTTCTTAATGCTCTTTCAATTTTGTAAAGCACTTTGAATTGCATTGTGTTGAAAGGTGCTGTATAAATAAACTTGCCTTGCCTAAGACGGACATTTATTTTTAACAGATGACATTGAAAACAAGTAGAAGGGAACTATTTGTTTTGCAGACTTCATCAAATTCATTCTGTGCTTGATTGTGCGACCAGGTGTGTTTAAAATCATCTTGATTAGCATAGTGTGCAATTGGTTCTTTATGTATTTTGTATAGTACCCTCTTTTTCTTACATATTAAGAATGATTGTTGGCAAATATTCACCTTGCACAAGATTGTTTCACAATCACAAAGCATCAACAGGAAGGTCAAAGGAAACTGTAGCACAATGTGGCACCATTACAGAAACAGATAGCGCTGGTAGAGACGGCAACATCTATTTCAAGTGGAACCTGTAGACTGAAATTAGGCCCCTTTAGTTTGTAATCCAGCAATTTGGTGATTAAAGGCCCCCTGATCCGGTCAATGGAGGTGAATAATGATCTCTCCTGCTCTGTGGTTTGAGACGTTCAGTTTACACACAGAGATACGCTCCTTTCCCTTTCTGACACTTTACACCACCTACACCCTCTCTTTCTTTGTACACATAAACCTACTCCAGCTCAACTAGACATTCGGGGTTTCCCTGGATTTTGTCACCAATCTATTTATTTTATTATTTGAAAATAATTCAATTTGTGTGGGGTTTTCTTTCTCTCTAAAAACAGAAGAATGTTGTTAAACAATTAAACAATCATTCAAACTCATTTGTAATTTATGATTAGTATCAACATTTGTTTAAAAAAACAACTTAACTAAGTAAAGGGGGTTAATTGTACAGCATTTTTTTTAAACGGGCATGTTTTCCTCTAACTTTTTAGAGTAGCCTTTATTTAACCAGGTAAAATCCCACTTTTTCAAGGGAGACCTGCCGCACATTGGTTACACATAAAAAACAACAGAAAACTAAAAGGACATCATACAACATAATTACAGGGGTACAAATTACAACCTATTCACAATGACAGGTATCAAATAACATTTCATCCAGCCACGCTTTAAAATTATGCAGGGGAACCAAAATGCTCAGTTTCAAAAAAATGTGCATAGTGTTCCAAGCTAGAGGAGCAGCGCACATAAAAGCTTTAGTACCTAAAACAGTCCTAGCACTTGGTACATGTAATAAAAACACATCCTGGGATCTCAGGCAATAGCTACTTGCCACTCTCTGTGAAATCAGAGAGCAAATATAAGTTGGTAGTTTACCCAGCATGGCTTTATAGATAAACATGTACCAATGACTGAGCCTCCGTACAGTTAGTGATGGCAGACTTGCCCTGGCATACAGGGTACAGTGATGAGTTAGTACTTTACAGTTTGTAACAAATCTCAGCGCACTGTGATAGGCGGCATCTAACTTGATCAGGTAATGGGCAGGTGCATTCATTTAGATCAGATCACCATAGTCCAGCTCAGGTAAAAAGGTCACAGAGACTAGCCTTTTCCTGGCCTCAAGCGAGAAACAGGACTTGTTTCTGAAAAAGAAACCTAGCTTCACCCTCAGCTTTTTAAGCAGATTATTGACCTGAAATTAGCAGATTATTGACCTGAAGTTAGCAGATTATTGACCTGAAGTTAGCAGATTATTGACCTGAAGTATATATATATTTATCTAAAGAAATGTTGTCAGTGTCTGTTTTTGTTGGTCGGTTTTCGGTATGGGTTGTCTTAAAGGTGGGGTAGGTAATTCACTTCAGAAACACTTTTTGTTATATTCCATGGAATGCTCTTAACATCCCAATAGCAATGAATACATTAAATGCTTTGACAATAAATACATAAAAAAAATGTCATCTGTGGAAGCCGTGGCGCTGTAAAAAGCACGACCAATCATCTGAGCCGGCCCGGTTAAAATAACTGGATGGCCAACCTGCCTGTCGGCCTTCCATCTCGTGCCCTCATTGGTCATGTGTGCGTTCGTGTGTGTTGGAGGAGGGGCTCTGTGAGGCAGTCTGAAGGAAGGGGCAGATTTTTTTCAGCTGCGTACTTTCAAATTCTAGCGCACTCGAGCCGGTTTCTCAAACTTGCCTACCCTACCTTTAAGTGTTTAAAAAAATAATGAAGATAACATTGTATTTGGAAAGTTTGGACCTTGAATGAATAATCCTAACTGGGTCACGGCAAACAATTCAGGGAAAATGTAAAGAAGAACAATCATGTGCCTAAATTCCCCTGAAGTAGAGGATTCGCTTTGAATTTCTCTTGTCAGGGTTTAAGTCATTACTCACACTGATTTACACGCATGGGGGCCCGTGCATGTGACCTAGTGGGGCAAGACAAGGCAATAGGTCTGCACACGCGCACACACACACACACACACACGCGCACGCACACACACACTGCTCTCTATATATATAATCCAGCAGCCTAGTCGTATCACATGGCCCTGAAAAATTCAACAAGACTGTCTGGGCTGGGCGGTGTTTAGCAGATCTCAGCAACAAGACTTTATAAACGCTTAATAATGCGGCTCCAGTGTCCAGCTTCAGAGAAAAGAAGCATTAGCTCTAATTTAGTCTCAGTCTCTGAGAGTACAATGATTTACTGTTGAAGTCATTCGTTATCAAGGAAACGCTCAAAACATCCAAAACAAACAAAACATGAGCGTCATAGCAACAGCTAAGTTTACTCCCACGCATTTTACTGCATAAAAACATGTGTACAGGAGGAGATAAAACTCGCATAGTTCCTGTATTGTTTGTATAAGGTGGGAACATTATTGTTTTATCATATGTTCCTTTCAATAAGATAAGATAAGATGGAGCTCTATTATTCCCCGTAGGGAAATTCACAACATAATTCTCATTAGTCCTATATCTCAATCAAGAGACTCTGATAAAGCCTATGAAGATAACTTGGCCATAAAGATTGGCTTTTTAGGAGTTTTCCCTTTGGTATATTGGTTATTGTGCAAGTAAATGCTCTGCAAGGCTAAAATGCCAGCTGACCAATCAGAGCAGACTGGGCTCTGGTTTCAGACAGAGGGTGAAAAGAGGTGCTGCAACACAGGCAGTATGAGAAAAATAAAGAGCTTTTTGAACATTAAAGCATGGAGACATGTCAGAGTAGAGAAACAAAATACAAACATGAACCTGAAAATAAACGTAATAGGGCCCCTTTAATAGTTTGTGTCAAGCTGTCGATCACTTTGAAGTGGCAATGATAACTTATCACTATGGAAAAACTGCTGTTTGCATAATGTAGTGGCTATGTAGAAATTACACCACCGACATACATATTGCTTCTCAATGAGTCTCGCTTATATTTAAAATTCTGGCAGCCACCAGGTATGGTCTCCTAAGTACAAAATGAAGGCTTTAATTCTGGCACAAAGGAAGTATATCAACACAATGTCCAAACTAAACAGGAAGAGGACAGAGCTTTTGTTTCCCCCCAGTAGATATTAGTAGCTATCCTCAGTTTCCAAAGAGTATCAATGGAAGTTCTTTGTTGTAACTATCCCCAGTGGCAGAAATGCATTTTGGCTTTTAACACGAACCTGCGAGTGTGCGAGGAATATCCAGCAGAGACTGATGAATGAGGGGGTCGTCTGAGGAGTTAACCAGGAGCAGAGGCACAGTGACCTGCAGACAAAACAACACCTAGATTACTTATCAGTTATATTAGTACAAGTAAAACAAGTTCTGTCAAATATTTCTGGCTTCAATTTTAAGAACTGCACATTTTACCCCTTGTTAATTTCTAAGAATTTACTCAATAGTTGTAATAGTTGAAAAGTTGGTTTAATAAGTGGGCACGGTTTAATGTATATATATGTTTTATGTTGCTAACATTATTCTTTGATGCCAGATTTAGCAAGTTTGTGGCTGAGAGAGACCAATCAGACAAAAAAAGTATATTTCCTACTGATTTGTCTGTATGGGAAAATGCCTATTTAGTGTCAGAATTAGATAAGTGAAGATATGTGGCTTGTGAAAAAAGTCCAGAAGTTACTTTTAGGCAAAAGAATAGGTCATAATCTGTGCTCATATTAAATTCTCCCATTCCACTGAATAGACCACTAGTCTCCTAAAGGGCAGCGGCCAAACCCATGTGACAGATATAGGAAATGTACTCTCAGTGCGTCGCCTCCTCTTTAACTGGTCTATGGTAGTGGTAGTATTAGCAACAGAAACAGCAGTTAGTAGGAAAAGTAATACAGAAATATATCCAGTGTTAAGTGAAGGCACAACAGTGGTAAAAGTAGTAGAAGTATATTAGCAGTATATCAAAATTACACCTATTAATCATTGTGTTTCTACACACTCACTTTGTGCAAGTGGTGCACACAGCTCTCTTTCTCGTAGTACTCCTTCAAGGAGCTGTAGCCGTGGAATTTCCTGTAGTACAAGATTGTGATAAGATCAGTGACAAGATAAGATAAGATAAGAGCTCCAAAGAATATGACATTAGAATAAATGTATCCAAATCTAAAATCCTCCCAAACTCCACCTCATGATGCTGTCGTCAATCTGCATCAGAGACGTAGCTGTGTTCAGTCGGCCCAGGTCTGCATCTCCAATGTTGCTGGAGTTCAGGCTAAGCAAACTGCTCCTGTTGAACAAACAATAAAAGGTATTTAGACACTTCAGGCCAGGAAACTAAATATTGTGTGGCTGGTTGGCCCTGTCCAACACAGTCAGAGAGGTTATTCAGCAAGTCTGGCTAAAGGAATTCAAACTATTGGCCTATTTCTTCAGCATTTGGCCGACATCTACATCTAGGAATGTTACTTGTCTATATTGGACCAATAGGCAGTCAAGAAAGTATTGTACATGGTGTGTTGTCATAAGCTTTCTTGCTAGATAAATCCACTGTAATCAACAACACAATACTCCCAAATAAAAGCAAGACCCAAGCTTTATTTTGTACATTTCTGATACAGCTGAAGAAAGCAATGATGTCACTGTAGAACGTGTTGTTGTATTTCCTCACCTGTGGTTCAGGATGAGCTTCTTCATGTTGTCAGCCAACACAAAGTTGTAGAGCCTCCTGCACTGATCCCACTGGAGGAATGTCTCCTGAGCCCTACACAAACACACACACAAATGCATTAATGCATGCACACACAATGGGAGGAAAAACACATGACCTGCTCAGAATAAAAGCTTTAAGATAACCAATCCTTAGGTTAACATATAATGAATACTCAAAGGTTTTTGGGCCGCAATTGGTATATGCATTTTATTTTATTAAAGGTGGGGTAGGTAAGTTTGAGAAACCGGCTCGAGATACACTTTTTGTTATATTCCATGGAATGCTCTTAACATCCCGATAGCAATGAATATCTGAACTGCTTTGACAAAAAATCCATAAAAAAATGTTCATCTGTGGAAGCCGTAGTACTGTAAAAAGCACGACCAATCAATTTAGCCGGCCCGGCTAAAATAACTGGATGGCCTACCTGCCTGTCAGCCTTCCATCTGTGCACAAACTTATCTCGTGCCCTCATTGGTCATGTGCGCGTTCGTGTGTGTTGGAGGAGGGGCTCTGTAAGGAAGTGGCAGATTTTTTCCGGCTGTGTATTTTCAAATTCTAGCGCACTCGAGCTGGTTTCTCCAAAATTACCTACCCCACCTTTAAAATTAGATATAAATTCAATTTGTTTTCAGTGCATATAAAAGCAACATTACATTATATGCAAAAAGGTATACAGCATGGTATTGGGTAAGCATATAATAAAGTACAGTATGTATGAAAAAAAGGCTTAAACTTAGTGTAAGTCACTTTGAATAATAGCGTCAGATAATGTAATTTATCATATTTGACCCCTAGTGGGCCGCGAAGGCATTGCAAGTGGGCCGCCAAATAATTTGCAAAACATGATTTGTTTGGAAACATTTTCATTATTACGATTACGATTACGAACCTCCTTTCCTTTCTCTTTCTCGATCCTCCTTAGCAACGGTCATTACAGTCCTTGACAGCGGTCTGTCTGTACTACTGGATTAACAACGTGTCACATGTTCTGAATTGACCAATTGGAACTTTATTTAGCCTCCGTATTGTTCATGGTAGAATGTGGGCCGCGAAAAATTTTTAGATTCTTAAGTGGGCCCTGAGTTGAAAAAGGTTGGGAACCGCTGGTGTATACACTATAGGTCTGATATATACAGATAGTGGTGTATACAGTCCTGGTTCTGAGCCTGTGTTTGTCTTCACTAACCTGAGGGCGCTGTAGCCCTGGCACACGGTGATGCAGCACGCCACTCGGTCCTGGTTGGATCGGTTCTCTCCCAGGAACTTACAGACGATGTTTCCCCCCAGACTGAAGCCCACCACCACCAGCAGCGTCTCAGGAAGCGCTCGTTTGATGTAGCCCACCATGGCCGCATACTCCCACGTACAACCTGAATGACGGAAAGAACTCTTTTACAACTCTGATTCAGTGATAAATACTAGGAGTGTTAGGGTAATGAAACTGATACTCAAACTTTGATGCCAACATTCAGTATGGTTTTGTGTTCCAGTATTTAAGTACCTTCATTCTTACAGTAACAATTGTCAGCCACTGATGAATCTTTACATTTTTATAGATGGAAAAAAAACTATTATAATTTTGGTTTTTCCCACTGTATCTAATACGAACCAAACCACGTATTCCGTGCACTGTCAAACCACTAATAACTATTTCATTATGACATTAGATAAATGGTCAAATCATTTCAAATGTATTAGGTATTCTTTAAAGGCTATGATAAAGTCATCTCCTTCAAAAAGGAGGAAAATCCACTTTTTCTCAGTGTGTTTCTTTATTGCAACTTCTTTCTGACTCTTCTGTTTGGTTTCATTTTTCCTTTGTCATGCTGTTCTTCCCCTTAATTTCAGTTCTCCATAATTTAATGAACTAACATCAATTACACAATAAAGTGAGCTTCCCCATTAAGGTTTGAACGGTTACAAATAATCACACCCGTAACTCATGAGTCTACCATGTGATGATCCCTCTTACCGTAGGTGAACATGCGTGGCGAGGTGAGCTCCATGTCGGGCAGCGCTCCCAGGTGGTTCAGGACGGCGCAGCGGTACCCCTGCCGCTGGGAGTAATCCACAAATGTCCGGATGTAGTTCTTCTCGCTATGGTTACCAATCCCAGGACAGATTACCATGGTAATGTCATCTGACAAACACACAGACACAAAGTGGAGTCATGTGTTGGCCTAAAAGTGGACGCTGTGTGTGTGTGTGTGTGTGTGTGTGTGTGTGTGTTGTGTGTGTGTGTGTGTGTGTGTGTGTGTGTGTGTGTGTGTGTGTGTGTGTGTGTGTGTGTGTGTTGTGTGTGTGTGTGTGTGGTGGTGTGTGTGTTGTGTGTGTGTGTGTGTGTGTGTGTGTGTGTGTGTGTGTGTTGATTTAATTGCCGGCTGAAATGTGTGACATTTTTTGCTCAAGGGCTTTCATTATTACTATGGACTGCTTGTTTTCTTCAGCATTGTGTATTTACAATCCAAACTCAGGTAAATAATAACAATAATCAGTGAAATATCTTCATCAACGGGCAGAAGTAGTTGTGTGTAGGGCTGCACGATTTGGAGAAAATAACAAATTGGGATTATTTTGACTGATATGGCATTTGCGATATGATTTGTAATTTTACAGGGATGACCATTTTTGAAACATAGAAATTGAAAAATGTATTCAATTATAAATGGTATGAGTTTTAAAGTTGTCCTTTTCCTGTAGTGTGTTATATAGGTTTTAGTGCCCGTAAATGGTCTGCAAAGGCTAGTCCATATTGAAAATCTATTAATTCTGCAGCCCTGCTTGTGTGATTAAATCCTTAATGTGCAGTAAATCCAAAGCCAGCTGCTTTACTGCTTCACCAGATGAATCAGTTGTTGCCACTGACCTCCAGTGCTGTGGTCCGCACGAGCTTCGAAGAGGTCAAAGCTCGCTGTGGCCCCGTCCTGCATCGGGAGGAACTTGCGCACCCCACATGGTTTAGGAGTGTTGATTCGTCCCATCTTCCCGTACAGGGCCGTCTGGAGGTGTCCGCTCTTTCCCCACAGCAGGGGAGGAATGTATCTGAAGAGAGGGATGAGCTCCATATTACATATCACAGCTGTAACCACCACCCTGAAGATGTCTCAGAAAAGATTATCATACATCAGAGAGGCTCGCATACCACTCCAACTATAGGAGGTGGCAGACAGACCTACAGACTACAGACAGTCATTTAGAGCACCATTCCAGTCCTTAATTCAGTTTGTACTCTTTACTTGAGAACATTGCATGGTTGTGGTTAGCATTTATAGGCCAGTAAATCCTGCAACTAACTCTAGACTCCTTTGTCCCATGTACTGTAAAAAGAAGTGGGTCTTGCAATATTTAGCAACATACTACTTATCCACGTGCAAGCAGCCATGGTTTGTTTTGGTTGAAGAGCATTACATCATCATGTTTAACATGTTGTGGGGTAGATAAACAACACGCCCGAAGACACTGTCACCGTTATCTGAGAACTCAAGAAAAAAGATAATCACAAGTGCAGGGGAGGAACTGAATGAGTAACTCCATAACTTTGTACGCATCAACTTCAGTTTGCAGGTCTTCGGGGCACTACAACTGAAGACAGTTTTATAAAGATCCAGAGGCAGCTGCATAAAGTTACATTTAATTTAAATGTCTTGGGGCTTATCACTACAAGTTTGTACATTTGGAAAACCGGTGTAGAGTTATAAGGATTACCAGCACCGCACCTTAAACTCCCACTTAACTGTCAGCACAAAAATTGCTTGTTGGGTTATGTAGGCGACTTGTTTTGACAAGTAATAAGGAAGAATGTGCAATGTGTTTACACTGGGTTTGTATTTCCATTTGCTAGATAGAGGTCATGACACAATAGTCAATTGAATTCCCTTTGAGGACTAGATGGAGACAGACTGGTTTAGATTTGAGGTAATCCTACAGCCCTGTTAGTGTTTTATTTGTATGCCTCTCTTTCGTTCTTGGACTGTTGGGAGTTACCCTCAACACAAAGCTAACAACTGATAACACATGAGGGTATTGTACTTCCCTGGTGACACAACAGTTCTCCTGTGGGTTTGTGTTCCACTATAACGACAACTACTTAAAGTTGGTGGACAACTCTTTAAGAGTGACAACTACTTTTCATCAACCTGACATTTTAGAAAGTTCTTTTTACTTTTGTTTCTTTACACCAAAGCATTTTTCAGGAGTTAGGCAGCTCGTACAGTTGCTAGAAGCTAACTAGTTAATTTACCAAGATAAGATATACTTTATTGATCCAGTTTGGGATTTTTTTTAAACAAGGATTCTGCATTTGACCCATCCTTGTGTCAAATGCAGAATCCTTTTTTTGTTTTGCCAATATGTAAGGAAAGATGCCTTGCTCAGAGGCACCTTCCCTCTGTATAGATACCTTAGATAGATTTATTGATAAATGATGTATATTATATTTTAAAAAGAGGGGTTTGATGACTTAACAAATAATGTTTTTTCTACTTTACTTATTTTGATCGCCATTTGTTTTGACCTTTATGCTATCGTTTTGCTCCTTCTTATCACTGTATGTGAAAATGACCTCTTAAAGTAAAAAAAATCTTGCATGTCCTCAGTTTCAAGTCTGAGTCGTTAATGTCTGTGCTTGTATTACATAAGGCTGTTACTGATAACTAAGATTAGCTAGTGTAAATGCAAATGCCCAAAAGGTATGACACACACACTCTATAATGAGTCATTCACTGCTCCGGTCCAAGGTCCATCAGAAGTATTACAAACTGGGAGTGTATAATAATAATAATTAACACTCACTCTTTGGTCAGCATGGGGCAGGTTTTGAACAGGTAGCGGCTCAGTGGTGTCTCCTGGTAGACGACCTCAGGAGGCGAGGCGGTGCTCTTCAGGTTCAGACAGCGCACGATGATGTAGAGGACCGTCGCCACCGCTGCCAGCTTCATGCCATCAAACATGGCCGGCAGCTCCGGGCCGAAGGCGTTCATGTCAGTGTCCTCCTGGGTGGTCATCGTGCACAGGGAGAGGACCTCTGCACAGCATGTTAGGAAAGCAGATGCATGACTTATTAAGAGCTTACAGGAGGTGGAGGGTTATCGAGACAGTAACATGACTCCGTTTTAATTGTCCAAATGGCTGAGATTGAAAGAAATACTACAGAAAATGTAGTTTTAGAAATATGCCTGTAAAGGTTTTGGGCTTCCCCTTCTTTGGCAAGTGTGGAGTTTTTACTATATTTAGTGTGCAAAAAACCCCTTAGAAATATCGAATCTGTACTCTGGTGTCAGTGGGAAGTTTTAGATCTGTCATCCTGCCAAAGTGCATCCCGACACAGAATTAATCAATATTGACTTTTGGAAGAAAAAAAAGTCAGGTATTGGCAGAGGTGGAAGAAGTATTTTACTTAAATTAATACTTCACCTAAAAAATTATCAATTGTACACCACTTACCTGAACTTAAATTCTTCAATGTTTTGATAGATTTGTTCTCTTATTAAAAGCGTATTTACTCGAATTCTTAAAGACTTGTCTGTATTTTTGGATTCTCCATTCATCGAGGAGACTTTGAGGAGATCATTAAAGTTATTTAAATTCTTTATCTGCTGGGTAGATGGTGAATTTCCCTCAAGGGATCAATACAGTTGTATCTTAAATAATAAAAATACATCATAGGCTACTGCTTTTGTTGTTATGTTTGCTTTACATTTCCATATGGAAAGTGACTGAAGTCATAAAATACATGGGGTATAGAGTACAATGTTTGCTTCTAAAATTTAAAAAACGTAATGCTGGATGCTTATATTCAAAAGTATTTATACAGATATTTATCATTGGGAAATCATTGATGAATTATTCTGTACCCATAGTTTGCTATTATTAACCAGCAGAGCTGCCCTCTTGATTTTACCCACCTTGTTATCTGACTTTGACGGAAATGCAGTGGCTGTGGTGGTCCCTCCTGTTTGTCTGATGATGCTCTCTCAGTGCTGGAAAACAAACAAATACTTGTTAAGACTTACTGGTTTCAGAGCCTCAGGGTAAACCAACAGGAGGTTACACTAAAAACATTCAAAACCAGCATGTAATGTGCCGTTATATCACATTTTGATCCATTTATAATGCATGAACGACACAACCGCAACGACAAAAAGTAGAATAGGATAACATATGATAAAACAAACAGCCAGCTGAGCTCCGTTGCTCCTTAGCTTAAACACGACCAAAACGAAGTGCCCTTGGTTTAAGTTTCTTGCATTCTTTTGTTTTGATACTCAGGTAAAACTATTCCTGAAGAAGGTCGAGGTGAGGCTGAAGCATAGGCGTCCAACTAACACAAACACCACATGGTCTTCACTAAAAGTACATATTAATGTTTTAAAAAGTATAGGGAGAATATTTCCGGTCGTACCATCGTTGTTCGTAGTTTTCAGTCCAGTTTCTGGTCGGATCCAGCCGGAGTCTAGTCCCTGAACACACCGTCTGTTTACAGCAGAAGAGTGACTGACCAGCAGGGAACTAGGACGCGTTCAAGGGCTCTTATAAAGCTCTGACTTAAAGTCTTATAAACATCCAATAGTACAGAAGTAATACATTTAGCGAATTGTTTGTATAACTGTGACTTTATAATGTTTATCACCTACTCATTAATAAGTCATCATAACTTATTTATGGTTTAAATCCCCATTTTCTGAGTTATTACTTACTTTAGCTTCCGTATTCGTCGTTTCTAAGTTTGGAATCGGACAGCACTTGAAGGCAGCATTCCAAACAACGGTGTAGTTTACTTCCTACTTATTCAGAGAAACCAAGCATCCTAATTTATAGTAACAACATGGGTGGAATTACATTGAGCAAGTCCATATCCACCTATTAGTAAACCCACTCTCTTAAAATGAAAAAATAAATTAAAATGAGGGTTTAATCTTGGCCAACTTCGTAGTAAAAAATCAACACACTTCATGTAGCTATACAAATATTGATATTATTTCAAACACTTATAGTCAACATCTTGGGTCTGATTAAACTCAAACAAATTTAGTACCACATATTCTGATTGAATGTGACACCACAAGGGATATACACATAGATGGGATGATTTTATGTGAAGTGACAACACAACAACAATTCAAACACAGTCGTGTTTTTGATCGCATTGTTAAAGCTTTTTTGTAATTCAGATAAACTGAGATTACAGGGTAGTAATTCATTAAACTTCAGTGTTCAGTGATGAGCCAGACTCTACTTCATTGCGTTTTTAACCACTAGAGAGCGCCATCCACCAATGGGACATCCAGCGTGATAAGTAGCATTCATGTTTAATCACAGTGACTTTATCAAGCTTTTAATGTATTCTCTTTCTGATATTTGTGCAGGATCCCTTTCAAATTGATTGCATCTTTATTATAATGTGTCAATGGCACTGTTTATATGAGGACATATGAGTACATCTTCTTCTTAAACATTATGTCACCCCTTACATAATATTTAAAATGTATCAAGAGAAAGAAATCCATTTGATGAAGTGGAGTGTGAGTGTTTTAAGTTGCTTTCACTTTGTAAAATATGTTATTTCAAATGCATTGATTTCTTTTATTTCATTATTTAGAATTTCAAATACACATTTTAGAGCGTATTTTGTGTTTCATGTGAACTTGATACTTTTTTTATTTTAATGTACAAAGTTGAAAGAAATAGGTGCACAGAGATGTGAATGCACGATTAAATGATGATCATTTGATTTTCTTTTTCCTTTTATCTGATTCTTTGGCATCCAATCAATTCAGTATTACCTCTAAAAAAAACGGTTTATCTTTAGAGATCCCAAACTCTCATTTATGTTGGGTTTGGCACAGTGCGGATTAACTTAGTGAGCAAAAACAGCTGTGTATAAAATAGGTTTAAATTGAACTGTGGCTTTTTTTTGTTCTTCTTCCAAATAAGCAACATCACAGGAATGTACAATTCCCCTCCTCAATCATATCCACTTCCTCATCATGAGGTTGTTCATGTATGTGAATTCTCACTTGTGTTTTCAGATGTAAGACAGAAGTGAAAGAGGACTCCTTTTAATGTGGAAAACAGAAGTGAAATTCACAGATACACAACCTGGTATAGATTTATGAAATATAGCATTTCCTTCTCTGGGTAAAGCACATTTTCACAAGGTTTGAGTGTATAGGATTATTCTGTTCACATTGAGGATTAGGATCAAAAAGGCTTCTGCCACATTGAAGCTTCATCCAACAATTATTAACTTCTGCCTGTGCCTCAGACTCAGTGAGGGTCAGTCATGAGAAGAAGCTTTGTCTGACAGAGGGGGAACATCAGAGGATGCTGCCTGGTGGAGGCTCACCACATTTGAAGGCTGCTTTGCGTCAACCAGCCCGCAGCACATGACTCCTCTTATGGTTTCATGACTGCACGGATAAAGCCATTCCCTCCCTGTTGAGACTCAGCGTTTAGGGATCTTGCTGACTCTCTTTTTCTCAGTCCAAAAAGAAGAGGGGTTTAAGTACTGAAACACACTTCAACATGTTGAAAGCTTTGGCATTTTCGGTGCCACGGGAGTGGAAAATCTCTGTCATCCTTGCATTTAGCTGTCCACATCAACTTTTCACATCTTCTAAAGCAGGGGTGTCAAACTCAATTTCCTCACGGGCCACATTAGCATTATGGTTGCACTCAGAGGTCCGGTTGTAACTTTAAGACTATATAAAAATACATATATAAATATTTTATATATATAAAATAATGTATTATATCACATGCATTGGAGTATTATCGGATAGGGTAATAACTTCATAATTAACTATGTCTAAAATGTCAGAAGTCTAGGGCAAATAACTGCAAGTCTCTTCAGTGCGCATGTCACAAAATTATTTTAAAAGAAAAGTCAAATTCTGGAGAAAAAAAAAGGAAAACATATTTGAAGGAAAAAAAGTAACATTTTGAAGAAAAAAAGTCAAATTCTAAGAAGAAAGTCACATTTGAGATGCATTGTGGGACATGTAGTTTATGGGCAACGTGCTCCTGTAAATCGGCATGTAAACGTATAATAAACATATTATATTCTTTGCAAGTTCTTGTGGGGCCGCATGAAATGAAGTCACGGGCCGGATTTGGCCCCCGGGCCTTGAGTTTGACACCCCTGTTCTAAAGCATCAAGAAACCTTTTTTTGGCATGTAGTGGTTGTCACCAGCTGTTTTTATGATGCTCTTAAACCAGAATTTGGTCAAGTCAAATGTCTTAGGGACAGGAAGAGTGCTTGTCTGTTATGCTGGGATAATGACATACATACATGTGGTTTAAATAAAAAATGCATTGCAAAAAGATTTAAGGAAAAGGCTGCAGGCTGCATCTAACACAACAGTGTTTAGTTCTTTAAAGTTGTTGACAGAAGAAACATGACAGGAGTGAGACAGGGCTCAATTCATCTGTTGTGTTGGCCCAGGATACAACATGATCTGTGGGCCCTTTACTGAACCCCTGATTCTCTCCTCACACATTTGGAATGCATTGTTTTGAATAATACAAACAAATGATGATCCAATTCAATTGAGAAACCATGAATCACTTGCCCTTGTGCCCCCCGAGGGCCTTAAAAAGGTAGATGCAAAGTCTCCACCTGCACCTGCACTCTGTGGCACCTCGAAATATTTTTCAAAGGACTGAAAACTGAAAATCACAGGGTGGCACAAACCACAAACCATAAACCATAACTGAATTTCAGGATCTATACTATGCCTGTGTAGTTTAATGGGTTAGTTAAAAAAATATGAGAGTTAGGAATTGTACAGACAGACTTTGGTTTCTTATCTCATGTGCATAGAATGAAATTGGTACATTTACTTTGAATTGACAAAAATGCAGCTTTGATGTATAATGGGTCGTGTGTGGACGCTACACGTGTTATGTCATCTGTTCTTTTTATTTATTTGGCATGAATTTGAAAGAGATATAAGGAACAAAAGCTTACTGGAATCAGCCTACTCAAGTTTAAAAACATCAAACAGAGGCTTCCCATATAATGCAAAAGAGACATGCAAGGGGTATCGCAACCCGTATCCAGAGGGGGAGTGCCCCCCCCCCCCCCCGCTGGTCACACCTTAGTGGTGCCAAAACTTTAAAGTGTTGCTCTTGCAGATCCCCATCAGTACCTAAAATCCAGGACATGTTGCATGAGAACACGATTTTGACGTTTAAACATGCATAATATTTAGTTACAGTATACAGTTGATGGATTATATAACACATCCCTTAATGCAGAGTACAAACAATGACTAATGGGATTAGCTGAAAACTGCACTTGCTGTATTTCAAACAAACCTGTTAAAAGAATCATTTCTATAGTTCCCATCTATCATTTAACCCCTATACTTTTCCAATACACAATTTTCACACACAGAAGCGTGTACTGTTATGTCACTGCTGCTTTAAGTTTCCCAGCATATCCTTGGTTTGCCTCGGAAATACCTCATATAGCCTTTCGCATTTTAATTCACGTGATATTTAAAGGACAGAAAGAGGAACACACTTTATAAGATTTGACCTAATAAAGGGAAATATCCACTTTCATTTCTTTTTTATTTCACATCTTGTCAAGGAAGGGTCACAAAGTCCTTCAGTTCCGGTCTGACAGTATATTCACCTTCTGTTTGACCTACTGTTCATCACACTAATGAGTTGGAATATATAGGAGCTTGGTATCGCCCCATTTAGCTTGAGATTTAGCTTTGATGTGAAAAGGTCATCTGGGGAAAAAGATTCTTTTTTGGTCCTGCATGTGAGAACAAGGGCTATAGGTTTCACACAAGACTGAGGCATCATTTTGAACTGCATTTGATCTTTATTACATGAGAAAGGAGAGACAAATGACGCATGGAGATGTGATGTGAGCACACCATCAAAGCAGCCTTTTTCCTCGGTATTTTTCCACCAAGCGTGAGATCATTTAAAGCTGCATTTAAATAACTTTGGCCTGTTACTAGGCTACAGAAAAGTACATTTTCCCCTGCTAATCAAAGTGAGAATACGGTTGCTACTACTGTAATGAGACACATTTCAAATCACAGGGAAACAAAGAATGGATGCAGAAATATACTTCATTTTAATTTAATTTAATCGTTTATTTGAATAGGGACAATGCACATTAATGAACACTTTAGACAAATAATGCTTCAAGTGTAAATATGCCGGATTTTAGCTTTGAGCTCATTTCCATCCGTAGTCCCTGACAGACAACATATAAGAACATGACATTTGTAAACATAGCAAAAAATAAATACATGATATGCAAAAGAGCAAGAGCAGCACACACAAGTATTTACCACATGCAGTACACTATAGCAGCAACGACATATTAAGTGCAAGAGATGATACAAGAGATGCATAAAGTGCAAGAGGAGATACCCCTGTGTTAAAGTGCATTTAGCGGTGATTGCACGTCTGGTTGTTTCTCAACCATTCTCTGAGTTGACCTTTAAAACTATTGAGAGTGTATCTCAGTTGGGAGGCTATTCCACAATGAGCTGCCTTTAATGGAGAGGACATTTTGTGGTGGACCTCACAGTCTCCTCTGGTTTCTGACCTAGTGCAGCGTCCAGTGTGTTTTTTGTGGATGAATTCCCCTAAGGGAGGGGGGGGCCAGTCCATGTAAACATTTATAAATAAAGCACATACTTTTAAAAGACTTAAAATTGTCAAAACTCAAGAAATTGTGTTTTTCAAGGATGGTACAGTGGTGGTATGAATTTGGCTTTCTGTCAAAAAACCTTGATAGCTCTCTTGTACACTTTTAAGGCTAAAGCAGAAGTCACATCCTTTAAAGTTGATAATAACATGACTGTTGTTATATTCAGGCTGCTTTTGTCTCCTAAATGTGGAGAAAACATACAACCAAATCCTTTTCAGATGCAGGAGGAATGAGGTGAAAGACTGAATTGGCCAACACGGTTGGACATCCATCTCAAATTCACACCCATTAGAAAACATTTTTCGCCTCACGCCCACTGTCTCCACGAGCACGAAAATCAATTCTGACCCACAGCTGGATGTTGACGCAAGAAACGCCCACACATGAACCTTTTTGGCTCTCCACAATAAAACATTGGCCTTAATCTGCATTTCAGAGGAGGATTTCATGCATGGCGCAATCATGGGAATTTTCCCAGAACTATTTGAGAATGGGCCAACAGCACAAGAAGACATTACGGATTAAATATGCTTTGATTTCACCAGTTACTGGCCTGCTTGATTAAATTAAATTAAGAACAAACATGCAAACGCAAAATAACTCTTGATCATCTGCTTAACAGAACGTAACGCAAAGAATAAATGTGTTCTGGTTCATAAAATCTCACACATTTAGCAAACACACAAACAGTGTGTACTTTATAACCAACCTTTTTGTACAAATTACAATGAGCTCTAATTTAGCCACATTTAATACAAGGCACACACATGTTTTGTCAGCTCCTTATAACTTAATGGATTAAGTGTACACAGAGACCAAGAAAGCATGGTCTTACAATTTATGTGTGTTCTAAATCTGTCAATTTTAGGCAATTTCATTGAATAGTACAATGAAAGTCTTCCCAATCCTTTTGAAACAAGTATGACTTCACAGCCCTATCAAGTGGACTCAAGTAGGCTGACTTCTTCATCAATACCCACTGTTATGATCCAAATGCATTCAATTGAACACGTTATACACATTCTTCGAAACAAAAGTTACTTTAATTCACACTTTCACAATCACAATATCATAGTAAATGCCCCCTGCAGGGAAGCACTGTAACCCCATGGAAACACTAAATAGGTCAGCTGCGAAAATTGGGGAGCAATTATTCTCCTCTCTGTGGTTTAACATGTAATATGTTAATCATGATATGTAATGAAATGCAGCTCATTAGCCATTAACGCTACTTTTTGTTTACAGGCTGATTTGCTGCTCTCTGTGAGTTTTTTTTTTGTGTGGGTCACACAGACAGCGGGAAGGAAGGGGGCGGAGTTACAATTAAAATGCCTCGCTGTGATTGGCTGGTAGCTGAGGCGCACGTGCTCCTGCTCTACGCCTGCTGCCTGGGAGTTTATAGCCGCACAACGAGCTCGAGCCACAGAAGCAACAACAGTCCGGAGACACGCTGTAGTCCGCCTGTCGTCCCTTTAACTCACTAAAACTAACAAAGTCTGACTTAAACAGCAGCCATGAAGCAGTACAGGAGTTTTGTCGTGTGGCTGCAACTTTTCTCAGCTTGTCTGGTGTTCGGTGTGAACGGTAAGTTGGCTTTTGTTGGATTTGTTTACAGTTCAAATAATAGCCGTTAACGTCCGTTACAGTTGAGTGGCAGCTTTGTCAGTTGAGATTTACGTTAATGTTGCTCTTTCTCCGTGTTTTAATATAGTTGTTTTAATTTTCTCAGTGTGTGTTTCATATGCGGCAATTTAAATTCAGTTGTGGAAAGTAACTAAGTTCATTTACTAAAGTACTGCACTTTCTTTGACATATTTACACTTCACTTGAGTTTTTCCTTTAGTGCTACTTTATGCTTATACTCCACTACATTTCAGAGGCAAATATCATCCTTTTTACTCCACTACATTTATTTTGACACTCATAGTTAATTTGTACATAAAAAACACATGATATGTTGATATGGTATGACACTGTACTACTAATCTACACAGTATTTAAATGTAATGCGGACTAAAATCGGACTTTTACTTGAAATGGAGTACTTTAAGACCATAGTATTTTTACTTTTACTTAAGTAAAGGATCTGAGTACTTCTTCCAACACAGTTTAAATCTAAAAAGACACAAGTGGCCCCTTCAATTAATCACCAAAGTAACAGAGAAGTGGGCATCTTAAGCTAGGTGCACAAGTTCAAGCAATCCTTGATTTGAATGAGTGAACAGGACGTGTGGGAATGTTAGACATTGTTTGCTCTGAAACTGCAAAAAAGAAGACTGCTGAATGTGTAGAGACATTTTAGAGTGAACGATTCCATCTGGCAAACAACAATATATGCATTTTTTGTAGGCCAGACACACTTCTGTCTGAATGTATGGTTACAGAAATATCCCCTTAGGGCATTTTCCTTTGCAGTGCCCCTTCTAAGAAGCACATATGTAATGTGCTGGCTATTATACTGGTCCAATGTTAACCTCTTGCCATTGGCACTTGGCTTTGTTTGCATTTCCATGCATCAAACACATTTAGGGCAATGGACAAAGGGGAAAAAAATGGCCTGATTCTCCTGCCTTCCTTTCCTGCTCAGCAACCAGGAAGAAGGCATCACATGTCAAGTGTTTTTCTTGGTGTGATGATGGATTTTCCAAATGTTCCTGTTCCATTTAGACCTTTGCTTGGTGCTGTGTGAAAGCTGCCGTGTGTGTTTCTTGTCTGATGGACTTTGGACTTTGAGTTGAGGAATAGATAGTCAACATTTAATGCCTCATGATGAGTCAATGCCCACAGATAGGTCTGGGATCTTTTCATTCTTTGAGACATTTATTAGAAAATGTACAGAACAAATGTATACAATAGGTCATTTACCACAAAGTTAGTCATATTGCTTTGGTTGTATGTGCAAAAAATATTTTTTTCTTATGACTTTGGCTTGAAATTATTGTATTGAATCTTAATGCAGCATTATGTGGTTATGACATAACTCGTGTATTCTTTATTTTTTACCCCATCAGCTTCCACAAAATGGTCACTAGTCTTCCTGGGGCCAACACAAACAATAATAAAAACAAGCGGCAAAAAAAAATCATATAATAAATAAAGAAATGGAAAATATAAAGATCAGCACACGAAAAAGAAAGAAAATACATTGACACATTAATACAAATAAACCGCAACAAAACATTTTCTACGGTTTCACTTAATTTGCTTAGCTTTTCATATAGTTCACAAGACATTTTTAATTTTATAATATGTCCACATGTTTTGATGCTTCATGTTTTGATGCTTCAGTTGATCCACTATGTTGACAGACACTGCAGGCTGCAGAAGCAAGCATGTGACTTCACTTCTGGTTGATAGGAGATTTGTTCAATTTGGAGATTAACGCTCTACTTATCTTGGAACCGGGTTACTACAGGAAGTACATCTTTTTTTACAGATATCCAAAAACGACTCCAGCTCAACTTAGATTCTGACTGTATTCCCATTGCTTGTCCTGCAACCTCCCTATATAGACCTGCGTGTAAACCCTCCCTGGTGAATCACATACATAAATGTTTGATACCCTTTTAAAAAAAAAAACATTTTGTTAGAATATAAATCGAAACGGAATGCTGCCTGACGACAACGGAACAAATGCCAACATGTTTGTACCCGAGGCTCAGGACAGATTAGGGAATAGGTGTGGTTAAACTGGTCCAAACGTTGAGTCACTTTTCCTGGATGAATTCGCCAACACTGGCATGCCAACGAACCTCCGCCCACAACAGCACTCGCTCAGACCTTTCCACGCTGTCAGGGAGCTGAGGGGGGGACTTTGGGCTGCTGTGTCGTGCAAAATGTTTACAGGGCAGGATAAGAGCTGAGGGAAGGTTTCCCCCGTGGTGTTTTACCTGATTAGGCTACATTCAGCAAGTTTAGTCCTTTTTGCTGCTGAATGGAAAGAAGTGGAAATAGTTCTCTGTCTGGGCTGAGGCAGACTATTCTCACATCAAGACCACTTAGGGTTACTGAGTGAACAAGGGCTAAAGTCAGCACCTGGACCAATGGCGTGCCATGAGTGTATGTGTATTATTTGTGAATGTAGGCGGTTGCATATAAACACCTTTCAGTTGAAATTGCTGCAATTGACTTGTGGGTGTAAGATAGCGTTTGATGACCAATGTATCAGGCAGTTACTGCTCTTAATTAAACAGGAATGAAATCTCCTGCTGACGGGAACGATCTTTTTTATCTTCACAGCCAAATCGTGCAGTGGGACTTTTATGTTGTATTTATTATAGATAATTGTTATTATATTAGAATGATTGATCAGTCTGTTAACAGAATTATAAGCGCCAACTATTTTGGTAATTGCACAACTACATTGAAGAACAGAACAAATATACTCAAGAATACTGACATTTCTCAAGCAAAAAGGCCAAGTTTATCCACGTTCTGAAATGTGAGGATAATCAAATGCATCTGTAGATGTCCTGCTGGGCTCTGGATGATTATAATGTGCAGTTACAAATGATTTATAATAGACAAAACTATTAATGAGTTCATCAAAAGATAATCAGAAGAAGAAATAATAGTTAGAGGCAGCCCAAGCTTAATGTTCTGTGTGTCAGTAAGTTTGAATGTGTAATACACGGTCGGGTCTTTGTTCCCTTCAGGCTGCTGTCTTCCTCAGCACTGATGACTTTATCATTACTTTTCCTACCAAATCCCTCAGGACAGGACAGGCTCTGTTTCTTCGATTTAAAATATGAATAGCTTCCGTGATCAATGTTTCATTGCAATATGGACTGTCTTCTAATTTGGGCCAGCTTATTAGTGGTTTACTGGCCCCACTTTCCAATCTGCCATGTTGAATGTTTTACACGCTGTCTTGCGACCTTAAATATCGAGCCAAGGACAACTTCGGAGGTACTTGAATCCCGCAGCAAGACAGTTTCAAAGTTTGGGATCATACAATCAGACAGAGCCACTTAGTGACCTAGTGAGTGGATATATATGTTTATAGGTACAACTCAATTCAGTTTAGACAGTTGTTGTGACACGTACTCCAGGCTCTGTTTCAGTTACAGTACATCAGCGGAAAGCTTGTTGTTTAGTCGTGTGTGCATGACGCAGCCGTGTGTATTTTTAGTGCCTTGGTTTTTGTTTTGTTTTTTTAAGCAGCAGATGGCAGATTCTGTTGCTGTGGAGTAGTACTTGCAGATTACAGAAAGCTCACCTGCAGCTGTGAGTGCGTGCTGGGGTTTGTGTGATGCAGGCCTCTCTCCTTTTCTTTCTGGAACACTGAGTTGAGTTCCCACACTTGCCTGCTAGCCTCGACTGCGTGACAGAGCAGAGCGTTTACTGTTTTCAGGCCAAAGGACATATCAGATATGAGCACTGATGTAAGCTAACAATACATATGTATATCAACATGTTTGCATTCATGCATTTTGCAGCCCCTGCTCAAGTAGCAGGTTTTGAGGAGAACACTGACATATTTGTCACTTTATTTCTTTAAGTCGCTTAACGCTTTTGCTTATTACTTTTCTGTATACAAACTATACTGATTTATTCCACATCATCTTTAATAACTCAAGATTAATTCAGATTAAATAAATGTAATTGTCTGTGCACTGTGTGTTTCCCTAACATGGCACATAGCGTGCTTTGGCAGAGAACACTGCATCCCCCAGAAAGGATTTTTATCAAGGCTTGCTTGCTGACTTCTGTCAAGTTGATTTTTATCCAAAGTGCTATTTTCTGTCCAAAGCCAGTCTAATATAAGCTGCACAAACGGTCCTTATCCACCCCCACCGTTTTGTCCTGAAATGGCTCCCTCTTCTTCATCTCCATTCATGGCGCAGAGCCCTTGAATGACTTCCTAGAGAAGCTTTTACCACACAGTCCCGAGGTCTTTGTTGTGATGTCTCCTTAAACGTATAAATGGGTTATGTTAAAGTTTTGTCCACCTGGGCTCATATGGTCAGAGGTCAGCTTTAAATCAGATAACTGGTTGATCCTCTCAGTAACAGCCGATGAACTTGTAGTAACTCCTCCTTCTGTGAAGCTCCTACAGGAAACGCACCATTTGAGCTGCCACTCGTATGTTTCCAGAAAGTAAACACAAGACTTATGGTAAGACCAAGCCCCCTGAAACGAAATGCCAGGCGCTATAGTCAGTTATTAAATATAAGGCTTGTTTTCTAAGAGTTGCAAGTGTTTAAACCAAGAAGGGAAATAGTTCAACAATGTCAGAACTGCTTGTTCTGGTTGCACAAGTATCTCCTGTCATCAGACACAATAATGGATACTTACAATATATTAAAATACCCAGATGAAGTGTGATACCAGACAGTGTTTTAGGGTATTTGGTGTCTATAAAATGTTGGCATTCAAATATTTTTTGCTACAAAAACTGTCATTATATTCTTCCCCAGCTGTTTCCCTTATATCTGGGGATCAAGCTTTTGCAGGATCACATTCTATTTCTTTTTGGCAGCACTGAATCATTATGTGATTCTGGCTCGAACAGCTTTTTTTTTTGTCTGGTATTTGAACCTCATTCTTGGAAATCATGGGAAAGGCACAGCCCATGACTCATAAGGAAAAGCACAATAACCGTTGGAAATGGCTTACCCTGCCAAACATAACTCTACATACTTTTCAAATGTGTCGTAGTGGGGTGGAGGAAGTTGGGCACCATGTTGGGTGCTTTTAGTTCTGCGGTCTACAAAATAGATGTGGTTTTGGCAGTATCGTCAGACTCATCAAAAATATGTGTGTTTGCATAATAAACAGCCAATATATTGTTTTGGGAATACAGCCAATGTTTACAGGTACGCGCCTCATTTAATTAAATATCAAGACAACATTAACATGCTGATGCTGGTTATGACTTCTGCAACTGCCCAATATTGTCACATGCAGACTAAAGAGGGTTACTATGAAGTGTTTGCCACACTTGATATGTTTTGGATAATGGAGTAGTTTTCGGTATTGTCCTTATATAGCTGAAGCAGCTCAAAGGGCAAATAACACAAAAGCATTTCTGACTTATATTTCTTGGTAACTAACCATGCAGACGGTTTGTGTTACTAGAAAGTAGTTCCAACTGTTGACAGACACGGAGACACTGATTCTGGAGAAAGATATCACTGTTAAATTTTGAAGAGGTTATTTCCCAAGCAGGAGCTCTCCAGGAGATTCTTTTCATCTTCACTGTTTTTTGGGATGGAAGCTGAAATGGAATGTCTCATAACCTGAGCTCATAAAACTTAAAGTATCTGTAAAGCTGGAGGTTAGTGAGGTTTGAGGAAATGGTAGCTTTTGTGAATTTGAAATCCTATTTTCTGCAGCGATTTCTCAATAAACGAAACTGAAACTACACCCACAGATTTATCTTGAAATATAAACTCCTGCTTATCTGAAACTGTATTCCTGTGTCAGCTCAAGATAACGGGAAAGAACAAGTCTCTGGTTTCCTCTGAAACAGCAGAGACGTTACTGGTTGATGTCTGGCGGAAACCACATAACACATAATAACTGCACATTTTTCTTTTATTGTTTGAATGTTACGTTTTGAGTGTCTCTTTTTCCCCTTCCGGGAAGCAAAACCTGTCAAAATACCTCATATTTCACTATAAAAATGGGAAGAATAAACAACCCTTTCTTCATTCCCATGTGGTTTTTACAGACAGTCGCATTACTGGGGATTTTCAAGGGGGCTCTGGTGGTTTGACCACTGTCTCTTGGCAGACAACCTTGACTAATACGTCACAAATTTCATTTCCTCAATAAAACTCCCGGCTAAGTTACCCTTCAGACCAAAAGCAACAATAACAGAGATAGATTGAGTGGGATGTCTCTTTTATCTCCAATTTCTTGACATTATTAAGAAGTACATTAGTCGGATTGTTCCATTAAAATATTCTTGGAAGCACGTCATTTATCCAACCTTGATTTTTCTCGGTGCTTAAAGGGTATCCTGCAGGGAGCTGTCTGCCTGTGTAGGAAGGGCGGCTGTGTTATTTCCCAAAGATAAACAGGCAGGAACTTTTGGATAAGGAATACGTAGGCAGGGCCGCAAAGCCTGTTGCCTAGTCCTGTGAAGGCCATGCAACTGGATACATTACTGATAACACCACACGTGCATGGGAAGTGCAGTGCAGTCGATAAACAGACGAACAGGATGTTGTTTAAGTGGATCTCATTTTTATCGTCCCTTCTGACCTGACCTGATCTACTCTCAATTTTTTTTATAGATAATACATCCAGAGACTCCAGATTAAAATAGAACTGATGTCCAATGCAATCCACAAACAATGTTTTCATTATTCGTCTATGGTAGCAGGAGCGTTGGTTTTAACAGTGCTACTTTGTTGACCATAGTTTGTGCTGAATATACTTCTGAGCCTTGAGAGATGTTTGTAGTTTGGGGTTTCAAAGATATAGAGGATTTGATGCACAGGAAGTTACAAGTCTCTTCAAAATGCTGTTTGCAGCCTTGGCCTTGTGGCATCAGAATTATACCCTTAGACTAAAATGACAATTTTCTTTCCTGTAGAAGTCTATACAAATATTTATCTTCTCCCACAAGTCTTCTTTTTTGGGACTAAAAGAGGTATCGTGCTAACACACACAAAGAAATGGGGTAAGAGCTTATTTTAGCCTCCATTGCAGACACTGTGGTTCTTCAACCACCACTTTCAAACTTGGGGTCCAACCTCAATTTCCTCAACAATTATCTAAATGAGTGTTAACTTGGAACAGACTTCCCTGTTTTCAAGGGTGTTAAAAGCCACCCAATTATTCACTTCCTTCATATTGTAAGTGTCAAAACACGGGGTAATTGAAACCTTGACTTCCAAAATGCTATGTGCTGCATCTATATTGGGGAAAAATGTAATTACTGGTTCATTGTTCAATATGTTGTTTTTATCCTAGGTGTTATCATTTAATTTCAACAGCATTTTGTCAGGAACTGGGCCTCCTTACTCGTGTATCATACATTTTTTGCCAATCATTATTTTGTAAACAGTGTGCTCATAGTTTCCAAAGGTTAGATACTTTTCAAAACCACTACACGCCTCTTGATTCCCTTTTGTCCCGACCCACTGCGAGCTGACACGAATTCATCAGGTGATCAGTGATGCTGGTGGAAGCATCCAGTGTGTTGTTGTGTTTTAGTAATGGCTTACTCAGCTGTTTAGACCAACACATCCAATGTCCAGCAGGCTCTTTACTCTTTATTCAGCAGCACAGCAAGAGAATGAAAGGTTTTAATAATGATTTGATCTGATACTCAGAACATGTTTTACTCTTAAAGTGATTTAAATACTTTAGTTTTGATGCTATGAAATACAAAAGGAACAAAACATGCAGAATACATCTTCTTAAGGCCAAAAACAACTTGCATTTTGCCCCCTTTTTCCCCCTTTTCCTGTCCTGAAATATGGGCCTTGGTTTACTTCACTTTGTACAGTTTTGTTTTGTGAGCCATAAACATTACTCACTCATTATACCAAACACACATCTTATCAGCCATGAGTCTTTAAGCCAAGTCAAACTCCCAACATCTGTCTCTGATTGCACAAGGGACATTATTATAATGGGTGGGGACACAAAAATGATGCCGTCTGTGTTTGGGAGGTTCTGTAAATTACAAACAATCTTTTTTGACTAAATACATTTCTTTGAACTTAAAACAATCCCTCTCCTTCTCTCTCCCTCTCTAGGTGATTACTGTAAAATAAACGTGTGCAGTAATGGTGGAACCTGTGTGATCGGGGCAGGAGCTCCGTTCATCTGCATCTGCCATGATGGCTTCTCTGGAGACACCTGCAATGAGACTGAGACTGGTAAGCCAATTCTCTGATAAAGTGTGAACGGTATTCAGCTCTTAAGATAACTACTCAGTCATTTCAAAATCTCAAAATGTAACCAAATGCTGACCTAAAAGATAAATAGAATTTTCTAAAATGTACATCAACGCTACGTACAACCTCGGTTAAATGTTTCTCCTCTCCTTCCTCTAATGTGACTTTATTTCGTCCAATAGGGCCCTGCCACCCCAACCCGTGCAAGAATGATGCCACCTGCGAGTTGACGGGCCAAACCCGCCGCGGGGACGTCTTCAGCGAGTACGTCTGCCAGTGCCCGCCGGGCTTTGACGGAGTCCACTGCCAGACCAGTGAGTCTATGCTCCCTCTTCAACAGTTTCATCAGTTATATAACCTATTCCATAGCTATCAATATGTGGTTGAATTTGTTTGAGAAACTATGTGTAACAGTCTAATTCTCATGTAATTCAAAATCAATTCCACTTGGAAGACTTGGATTTTTATATCATGATCAATGGACATTTTTTTTTATTTGTAAGTATTTTTGTTGTGACCAGATTAATAGTGAATTTACATTTTGGTAGGCCATTTTCCAGATCATAAGGAGTCAGTGTAGTGTCACTGTAATAGAGAGGCGAAGTCCCGCCCATCTACTTCCGACCCATGGGACCTTATTTCGGAAAAATGATGTATTGAAGTCAATGGGGAGAGAAAGATTATCTTTCGATCCCGTTTGAATTGTGCCACGAATTACACATATGATGTTTGTCAATATTAAAAAATAATTTCCATGTCAAAAAAGTCACAGTTTGTCGTAAAACTGTTGAAATAAAAGACTATGAAAAATACGCAACTAGAAAGACTACAAATCCCAGAATCCCGGTCCCGCATGCTGGCTCTTACGGAACCGGCTAACTCCCCTTGTGTGTATGTACAGCTCTCAACATGCCCAGACTTGGAGTGATTTTCACCTCTTTTAATACTTTTCGCCTCATTCTGAAAGAAAGAAGTGAAATGTGCCAACGTGACGGCCGTCTTGGTGTGTGGTGCGAGACGGGAGATGTAGTTCATTGAGCGGTTTCACACAAAAAAAAGTGTTACTTCACAGTTTTACGACACATTTCAATATTTCTGACTTGCAAAATTATCTTTTAGATTGACAAACATCATATGTGTAATTCGTGGCACAATTCAAACGGGATCGAAAGATAATCTTTCTCTCCCCATTGACTTCAATACATACTTTTTCCGAAATAAGGTCCCATGGAGGTCCCCCGGAAAGGGAGGGACTTCGGCCCTCTATGCATGGAAAGACTGACTATGAATGGATATGACAAAGAATCTCTTAACCTGTTAAGCCCAGAGCCTGTTTTTCAGGTCTCAGGCTCGAAAATGACATTCCCAGAACAAATGACTATATCTTCACTTCTAAAAGGGGTAAATTAATAATCTTTTTTCTCAAAGCAATGATAAACCTGTGAGTTGGATGTAGAAAAGTCAGAATCAATATAGATGTTTTTATTTGAAAGTAAATTCAGATTGAACATAGTAAAAAAATGTAAATTATAGTTTCCGTTAGGGCTGCTCAATTAATCGTATTTTAATCGCAATTACGATTTTGGCTTGCAACAATTATGAAAACAAAATAATCGAAATAAAACGATTATTTATTTTTGGTTTTTCAGTTGAATTATACTTAAAGTTCAGGGTAATCAACTGTTAAAAACATACTGTTCACATTTTCTTTTTCAATAAATGGATGTTTTCAAAGTAAATGGATAATCGTTTTTAATAATCGTGATATCAATTATTGACCCAAATAATCGAGATTATGATTTTTGCCATAATCGAGCAGCCCTAGTTTCCGTCCAAAAAAACCCCATTACTTCTAGTGAAAACCACCCTTGAATGATGGGATCGTAGACTAAAAGCTTTAGGAATCCAAACTATAACATATAATAAGCTTGGCGTTATAGTTGTGTTTTGTTTCGGTAAAAACTGTTCATATTGTCAGTTAGCTGAGTTTCTTCCTGTTAAGTGGGTATGAAACATTAATAGGTTGTTAAATGTTAAGAAGCCCTGAGACACAGTTTCGTGAAAATTAACAGGTTAAAACAACATTTCAAGATCAGTGGGCATATTTGAGATGCCATTTCAGAAAAAGAAATCACATCTTAGGGCTATTTTATTTTAAAATCTCTCTCATAAAGACCGCTGATATGCATTCCTATACATGTAATTGGCAAGTCCAGTTCGGTCCCGGCTAATCTGTCTAACCTGGCACACTAACATGGAGACAGCTGCTGTTCGCGGGGGCCACCAGACGGACAGATGCCGTCCTTATGGGAGCTTCATTCACACGTCACTCAGACCTGGTTGGTTCACTCAGGGTCAGCCCGAGAGAGGGAAGCAACGGTGGGAACATGTGCTGCCTGCAGTCATGCACACAGAGACAGATGGCTACTGTTTGCGTGAGGAGGCGGCAGGAAAACAGTGGCCAATTGTGCACAAACAAGTTGTTTAGCAGGACTCACGTGAGACTTTTAGGAAGAACCTGAGTGTTTGTTTCTGATTGTTCACGTATGCCTTTTTATCCTAGGTGTCGAAGGGGCAGAGTTAAGTTCGAGAAAAGGTAACGGAGTGCTAAAAAGACTTGAGGAGAGAATGATTTGTGTTTGTTTTTGCGCTGTGGTATTTAATCCGTCTTGAATCCAGGTGCTCTCTGTTCTCTTGCCTGCATTTCAAACATACACAAAACATATACACACACAGACAGAGAAAGCATTCAGCACTATCTCTCCTTAAGTCAAGGCCAGCAGAAAATACGTTTTATCAGTCCACACACAGACGGGAAGGAAGTCGTCCTTTCTCAGACAAAGATGTAACTCCCTGCTGGCTCATCAGTGAAACTATACATATGCTTACTGAGCCAATTAGGTTGTTTCCAAGTTATCATCCATTTTAATTTAGAATTCCCCAGCCCGTATTTACGCTCCAAACATTCTAATCTGTTGGTGTTTTCTTTAACCCCAAAGAACCACAAATCACAGCTCATCAAAATCCATATATTCACAAGTCCTTTGGCAGGTTCTGTCGGCTTTGCTGCCAGAATACGAGCCCTCTGCAGAGCAAGCATTTAACTAATTAAATAATGCCTGATGAGGGGAATTTATTTGACCGTGTTGGTTTTTGAGAGCCCCCCTGAGGACTGCCGGGTCAGGGAGTCGCCCCTCCATTCACAGCTACTGATGACAGTGTTGTGACATTTTAAGTGCTCCCTAATTTGTGTGTGTGTGGGCAAGGAGGTTCATGGTAGCCAGCTCCGATGGTTTATGTGCGTCAGATAAGGAGACAAGCTGTAGAAAACCAGCGACTGTGGTAAACCCGTGGAGGCGTTGTGTCGTCGTAAAACATTTATCTGGCATCCTTTACACATACTGACTTTACACATACAAATGCATATTACAGACATTTTGATTTTAAAAAGTTCATTATGTCTCTACAATTTCCTCAGTTTTCAAATGTGAGGGTGTATGGACGCCTGTGATTGGTGTATGGACGCCTGTGATTGGTGTATGGAAGCCTGTGATTGGTGTATGGACGCCTGTGATTGGTGTATGGACGCCTGTGATTGGTGTATGGACGCCTGTGATTGGTGTATGGAAGCCTGTGATTGGTGTATGGAAGCCTGTGATTGGTGTATGGAAGCCTGTGATTGGTGTATGGAAGCCTGTGATTGGTGTATGGAAGCCTGTGATTGGTGTATGGAAGCCTGTGATTGGTGTATGGAAGCCTGTGATTGGTGTATGGAAGCCTGTGATTGGTGTATGGAAGCCTGTGATTGGTGTATGGAAGCCTGTGATTGGTGTATGGAAGCCTGTGAGGGTGTATGGAAGCCTGTGATTGGTGAATACTGTGTCCTCACACAAGCCACTGCATCTATAAAACTATAAATAGATAGATGTTGTGAAGATGGACTTGGGAATAGAATAAAAATAGCACTCTCCTCTCCTGCAAGGCCTGCTGTCACTTGTGGGGAAAAAAGAAAATGTTTTTTATCAATATGTTTTTCTTTGACGAATAATCTTCTGCTCAAAGGATTCAAATCTTTCTGAGAAACAAATTCAAGGGAGCAAAAAAATCTCGACTGGAAAAAGCTTAATCACGTGTTGGCTGCACATCCCACGTGAAGAACCACACACAGCTCATGATCTCATATACACACTGTTTAGCATACACACACTGTGTCACGCACACACACACACACACACACACACACACACAGCTCTTCTCTTGTGCCAGTCTAGCCAACAGAAAGTGGCGATCCATGCTGAGCGCTCGCAACGTCAGCGCTGCTTCTGTTGCTGGGCGGAAAACGTGGAGGCGGAACGGTGAATTAAGTCTGCCCTCCTGACAATGTCACACTCACTACTCAGGTCTGACTGCAGCACTTCTGACTGTACTGTCAAATTGGCCTAAAAGCCTTTATGGGGGCTGCTGAGAGAGAAGAGTGTGTATGGAGACGCAAGGAGAGAAAGGGCAATGTCAATTGCTGTTCACTTTACTTCCCGCCAAAGCAAATGGATAGAAGCAGAGAGAGAAGGAGTCTTTCTGTAATTTCCGTCTGTAAATCCTTGACTTTCACAACAGATTAAGGCACTCGTTTGCTTCTTTCAAGTTGCCAAAGGGGTTGTGTATTAATGTTCTGCTCGTTCAGTTGTTTTGGGAGAGTTTTCGGCTCCTCCCAAGATGTGGCAGTGTGGGCAGACTGGGCTCAATGCCCCCTAAGGAGTACAGGGTGTGTTTTAATGTGTATTTGCGTGTGTGCTAGTGCTGTCTGGCGTGCATGCACCGGTTAGTTTGTCTGCATTAAACCAACTTGATTGATAAGATCCCCAAAGCTGCTTACCTGGGATCACAACATGGTCTTAAGTAACAGCTGTTTTTACTAGTGCGGCGTAACCTTTCCAGGTAAGCCTGATCTTCAGAACATCATGAGACAATTAAGCCACAAGGTGTGTTCTCATTGATTTGTAACAATACAGCAGATCTGACTGAAACTGATATTAAATGTGCTGAAACACAGTTCATTATCACGTTCTGCCATCAAGTTGGTATACATGTAAACAAATCCTACTGTAGAAAGTCATAGATCTATAGTAAGCCCATGTATCCATGTGTACCTACATACCTAGGTCTGCTAAACTAGAAAATAATGAAATGAGCAAGAGTGGAGTTCTGCATTTTCACATCTTCAGTTGACCACAAAGCAGTTGGGATTTGAGTGCCTCGCTTGAGATCCTTCAGAAACTATAACAACCACATACTCCACATCAAATATGTAACTGTAATGTTTTTTTAGATAACACTAGAGTAGACAGATGTTCAGCGGGGAAAGTCCAACATTTGATGCTTCCCTTTTTTTGAACCACCTAAAGTCAATACAGTTTGATGACACTTTATTTCCTTAAAGTTCCCAAAGATAATTTAAAAAACCTGCAATCCGCTTACATGTGTGGAATCTATATTTACTGTAGGAATAGACTGCTCGATCTGCACAAACATTACAACATCTTATAATGCTGCAAACTTCTAAGAACCAGTGCACAGGATCTGGTGTCACCATGCGTCGATCTTTTAGACTTCGGAGTGATCGCTCGGAAAACACAGCTTTAAATATGATGCTCTGTAAATATACTTTATGACATCAGTAGCCTCCTCTCCAGCACACAGTCACCCTGGCAGAGGTCCGGTTCAGAGCTATTCTGGGTGCTGCTGGGGCTCCCTGCTGATCTGCAGCCAGTCCACACGGCAAATTACACATCTGGAAACCTTTTGGAACCATTTTGATGTAATATTCTTTTTTATCTGGTTACCATCATGCTTTACCACTTAGTTGTCGTGGAAACCCAAAGAGTGTGATTACAAAATATGTAATTACTTTTTCTGCAGCAGCCCATTATACATAGCTTGACTAAAAGATGGATTGTTGGTGTTCATAAAACTATAACCTTTACTAATATACTATAGATATGTATGTTTTTTTTAGTTGCGCTCCTCAGATAGTTACAGCTTTTTGTCTTTGTATGGACACAGTGTTGTTGTCAAAGTATAAACATCACAGCAAATGTAGTTTCAAAACTCAGTTTGAGTCCCTTGTGAGCTGAGGTCCTATCTAGGGCCAGATCCTGCTGGCTGCAGCACAGAGCCCGGCTGTAGATGCTCTGCTGATCGCCACGTGCACGGCCAGCTGACCTTGGCTTTCTATCGATCAGGATCAGATTTCAAACAAGCTGCATGACATCTGTATTGGTTTTAGCTGCATGCTGAGACAGATATTGACGCTCTGAATATTGTGGTAGTGTGCTATTTCTGTTTGGAGCTATAGACAAGTACATGCAATGTCCCCAAATCTATATGCAAACAGTGGATACAGTTAAATGGGTAACAGATGATAACCTGTCAGTATGGTCTTTCTTGGTTTGCATTTACATTAACAGTGGTTTCATCCTGAATCATCTCTATAAGTAATTTCATGGTTACAGTGAATCAGTTGTGTTAAGGAAATATTTGCTTAGGTACTAGCCTTTGACCCAGTTCATCATTCTTTACTTTGTCTGTCTCCCTGGCCCAGGCATGCGGCCTTGGGGTATTCCTGTTATCTCTCTGAGAGACGCAGCTCTGTCTCTTTGTTATTGCAGGCGAAGACTCAAGCACAAGATAGTTTATTGGCTAGGGACATCTGGTAGTCCACCTTATAAGGTACCTATGTCCCTTTGGCATACATTCTTTAGTCAGGGATAAGAGTTCTAGTCTTTTGGCCTGTTTTATCTTGTCATGCTTGATGTTGATTAAGCCCATAGAACTAGTTAAAGTCTCCGACTGGAAGAGAGAGATCTTCAGAATTGGTTAGGCAGGATCTGTGTCACTTTGTGGCTGCAGCAAATGTCTTCAAATCAAATGAATCTTCAGTGTTTGCCATTTCAGTTCTCCTGTGTTCTCATTGTGTTTCGAGCCCTTGCTCCAGATGTTTCCATTTGAAGTTGACCATGAGTATATTGACACCTTCAGACTGTCATTAACTACTGATATAGGTGTCCGTCATCCTTTAAATCTGGAGTGAGCAATGTTTAGAAACCTGCTCAAATAAAAAGTAAAGTTTTTATGTGTGCCCTAAGCAGCAAATGAACAATACATCTTTTTATCAATCTTTATAACATATATCTTAATCCAACACTGATGTAACCAAATTAGTACAACACATTCTGCCAGTTTTCCTTTTAATGTATCCTTGTATCTGTACACAGAGGGATCTGCTACCTTCTCACCAGGCATGTTCCAAAAAAGTAAATTGATCACATAGATTATTTACAAAGTGAAGAGAGTTTTAAAATATTCAGCTGCTTATACAAATATCAGTTTTATGTGATGTAGTTGAAGCTTGCAGAGCCAGAAGGGTCGCGAATGTGGACCCTGTTATCCAGACTCGATGGATGCCCATTTCAAAAGCACTGTATTCTTCCTGTGAAAATGAATGTTTGGACACGGAGCTATTTATAGAGCGAGCATGTGGGTAGGGAGATGCTGCCATGTGTGTGTGTCGGTTGGATAGAAGCATAACATCGGTGCGCCTGGGTAGTTTGCGTGCATTTGCCTCCATAATAACAACCACTGAGGATTAAAGCTGCAGACAGTGACTGAGATATCTTTTCTTTTGGTGTGCCATCATCTAAACCTCCAGCTAAATGTGCGCGTGAGGTCAATCCTAGTGCGTTTTAAAGCTGGTTTAGTCACACAGCTCTCGTCGGGGAGAGATGAAAAGAGTTTGAGTTTTTTCACGTGTTATTCAGAGGCTGATTCGTTTTCCTCCTTTCTGACTCATCTGACAGACTCTGCGCTGGGTAGATTTGTGACGAGGGTGCCACCGAGAGGCAACACAAGGAATTGCAATTAAATAAAACAAATGATGCGTTGTAAAGCTTCACACTCAACCAGCTCAACACATTTCATTCTCGGACCTTTCCACTAAATACTCCACGTCCTGACCACAGTCTCCTGGTGCAGCTGGGTCTTTGATGCCACATATTCCGATCAAGGCTACATTAACAGTCTATTAACTACCTGTCTCTTTCCTCTCTACTACAGCTTCAGTCCTGTTGGCATGGCTTCAACTAACAGCTTGAGGAGATATCAAATCTTGTCTCTAACGCATGACCTGTGATCGTCACTCACACTTCTAACTAACTGTGATCCACTTTCAGATATGGTGATAGCAGTTGTCTTGTAAGCTGTTAATGTTTGTGACTTCAGTAAGTGACGGTGGGATTTCTCTCTCTGTAGACGTGAACGACTGTGCCGCCCAGCCATGCAAGAACAGAGGCACCTGCAGGGACCTGGAGGGAGACTTCAAATGCCACTGCCCGTCCCCTTATGTGGGCAAACAATGCCAACTGCGTAAGTGTCACCGGTCAAAACTTCATGTGGCCAATTATTCTCATCTCAATCACTGTCGTCTCTCTTTTTTTCCTGAACATATTGACAAAGAACTTACTTTAAATAGGTATAGATTGGGTCCTTATAGAACAACAGTAAAAGTAAAATACATGTATTAAAATAAGAGAACCTAAACAAAGAAAGGGATGTTGGCATTGATATGTTCCTTAGTAATAATGTTCCCTGTAGAAATACAGTATATTAGTTGAATGAAGACGTTCTTAATGATGATAGGATTGGGAAGGTGGCCAACTGCTGCATTTTAGTATGATCAATAGGCAGTATATAGAAAGTAAGCTTAATGAGAAATCAATACTTTATTCCATTCAGTTGACTTAAAGATCTGCAGCCTTAATGCCTTTATGGTTTGTTCAGATGAGTGAAGTAGAATCTCTGTATGAGATATGGCTGAGTGTGTATTAGACTTTGACTATGCAACCATATGCTCATACATTTCTCTTTCTTATAGGAATCAGTTATTTGTATTCTGCAGAATGTAAAACGGTTGTCTCTGAATTTATGTACAGTAGCAGAATTATTATTAATAATAACTGTATTCATATAGCACTTAAAATGTGATTTTAGGCAACATGCTGAGAAGACAATAACAGCATAAAGCCAACAGGAAGGCCACACAAAAAACAAGACAACATTAATGATGCATACACATATAAATGAAGTGTGTGCTAAGTCAGCCTTTGTCAGGTGAGTGAATTTGCATTAGGGTCAGAGTGTGATATGTTGCACTCCCGTCAGAATCTGACCCCCCCCCCCCCCCCCCCCCCCCACTTTTCCTCTACAGCACATGTGTCAAACTCAAGGCCCGGGGGCCAAATCAGGCCCGTGGTAGATTTAATTTCGGCCCGCAGGATCATTTCTAATTACTATTAGATCTGGCCCGTCGGTATATAGCACGCACACCTTCACTCAATCCTGAGGGTTTCCTCAGCTCAGAGCCTGACCCCAAACATTGATGAACTTGAACCCAAGATGAGATGCCAAGTATCTGGCTTGAACTAGCATCACAGAGCAGCACACTGAGTTTCAATGGATGTTTCCTTCTGCACTTTCTTTCTTGAGACAACAGGGCATGTTTGGTTTGTTCTTTGAGGGGAATAGTTTTTTTGAAGCTGTTGTTGGCCTGTGGAAAAATGTAATCATAAGAAATGACTCTGCAGATAGAGCCATAAGAAATGAATGCAACTGATTATTTAATGTTTAATGTTGTTTTTATCGGCAATCATTTAAGCTTTGTTAGTTCCAGGTTTAATATGTGCAATAAGTTAATTTCAATAAGTTTTGCAATACACATTGAACCAGTCCGGCCCTCGACTAGTACCCATTTTTTAATTTTGGCCCACTGTGAATTTGAGTTTGACATCCCTGCTTTACAGGCTGCATCTCTCTGCTGGGCATGGAGGGGGGGGGGCATCGCTGAGTCCCAGATCTCCGCCTCCTCAGTGCGGTACAGCATGCTGGGTCTGCAGCGCTGGGGGTCCGAGCTCGCCCGCCTGCACAACAAGGGGATCGTGAACGCCTGGAGCGCCGCCGCACACGACAAGAACCCGTGGATTCAGGTGAGACCAGGACACATGGACATACATAGTTCATACAGGGACTTTCTTTGATGTATTCAAGTCCATACACACTTGTTTCTTGTAGATCTACCAGTTGAGGTATACCTTTCCTGACATTTAATTAAAAAAAAATGTTCTTACTCTGTAATGCTAGTTTATTTCTATTTCTATTTTGACATGTTTCTATTTTTAGAATTGTTTATTTCTACTCTTTTAATTTGTTATTATGAGCAATGCCTTGTTTTGTTTTATACTGCTGCAACACATTGGGATTAATAAAGTACATCTCATCTTACCTTATCTTATAATAATTGAAACTCTTATATTGTGAGCAAAATAAAACTTGATTTATTGACCCATTATTACACACATGAAGATACTTTTTGCTTCGGACCTGTGTGTTTATGTTTTGAAAAGTATTTTCCCTCCCCATATTGCTTGCCATCATTTTATCTCACTGCATCTTGCCTGTTAAAAAACCAACTCTTAACTATAAAACTCCATTTTCAGATCAACCTGCAAAGTAAGATGCGCTTCACTGGTATCGTGATGCAGGGCGCAAGTCGCATCGGAAGTGCTGAGTTTGTCAAGTCCTTCAAGGTGGCCTCCAGTCTGGATGGCAAGACGTACACCATGTACAGGACCGACGGACAGAGGAAGGACAATGTGAGGGGACACAACAAAACACAACAAAGTGCACGATATTAGACTGATTTATATGTACTGCGAGTCAGTCAATGTACATAGCATCTCTATATACCAGGGGTCTCCAACACGTCGATCGCGAGCTACCGGTAGCTCGCCAAGCAAATCCAAAATGGAAAAAAAAGTGGGTGCTGCAGCCCCCTTATTATTGAAAAGTATACAGCTCTCTTTCATCTGAGTGTTGAGAGCTGTATCCATCAGTTCATGTTGTGCTCAAAGTGCACCAGATTGATGCATTTAACTTCAACATTTAAAAAAAAAAAATCTTCCCGGGGGTGCATGCCCCCGGACCCCCCGAGAGGATGTGAGGTCCACCCCCAAATAAAGCAGGTTAAAATAATTAAATTTAATACATTTTCTTTTAGTAAACACTGAAAACGGGTCCCACAGACCCAAACAGCACACAAAGGTTAAAGATCAGCATATAATAATGTTAAAATGTGCTAAATATATACACTGCGGAGTAAAAGTAGCTCACAACTTGTTTTATTTATTGAAAGTAGCTCTCATCCTAAAAAAGGTTGGAGACCCCTGATGTATACAGTAATACAAATATACCACTAGAGGGAGCAGTGACAAACACCAGACAGGACACGCAACCCTTTGAACTGTATGTGTACGTTATACACAAAAGAGTTGAAGTTTGCTCGCTAAATACATACAACAAAGATGAATTAATCAGGGAGTGCTTTCCATCATTGTTTTGGTTTAGTTGCTCTTTCTTTAGAATACATCCATCTACTGAGAACTGTCACTAAATATACATTTTCAGTATCACTCACCAGTCATCAAAATGTGAGATTAACAGCCCATTTCAGGCAGTATACTAACTCCTCCTTGCTATGTAGATATTTGTGGGAAACGTGGACAACGACGGCACCAAGACCAACCTGTTCGACCCCCCCATCATCGCCCAGTTCATCCGCATCATCCCTGTGGTCTGTCGCAAGGCCTGCACCATGCGCATGGAGCTGGTGGGCTGTGAACTCAACGGTAAACTCACACAGAAAACACAACGTACACACTGTTAGCGTTCAGTTTAATGATGTTGGTTAGAGACAAGTCATTCAAACTCCATGTGGATAAATGTGATATCGAACCGCTTTTAAGCAGTAATTAGCTCATATGTTTCCGCACTAATTATGTTCAGCCCTGTGCTCAGTGATTGATCATGAATTCAAAGGATATGTCTCAGAGGATTGCACTTCTTAGTAACTAAAGCAAGCATGCACATTTATCAAAACCATATGATCACACTGTAACACTGCCAAGCGTGCTGCAGATGGCTGCCAATGATTCAGAGATCTTTTTACTGGTCATATTCATCATATAATACTTGACAGTCAACCCAGAGGCAAATGTTAAACGCATTTAAGTGTCCTCTGTTCGTCTTGCTGTTCCTCTTATGTAAAGCCAGTGTGGTTCTTTTGAACTCGCCATCCTCATTGCACTGTCACATCTCCGTATCTCTTAATGGTTGTTTCCTCCATCAAATCAGTGTCTGTTCTTCTCTCGTCACTTGTTTCCAGTTTGTGCATGATTCCTAAACGGCTTTCTTTGAGGCATGTAGTTGGGTCACCTCCCAGTCTGATTTGAGATCACAACCAGATTGCATGACTTTGCATGTTTTCACTGCGTTTGCTTTAATGTGAAACAGTCATTGGGACAAGACAGTCTGTTCCTGAAACGTTATCTGGGTCCGTGCTTCAAACCGTCGTGTCACAACTAAAGAGACACTGTTTTCAAAATGAGAGGATGTGACATGTTGCTGGACAGTAACAACACAGCTGAAGTTTTTTAATTTTTGTATTCATTTTTCTTTTATTGGATTTTAAGCACAAACATCCAACATCATATACAGACTCAGAGAAAAAACTAACAGTACCAGAGAGATAATAAAAATAAAAACAGGCAGGTAAAAACAGGCATTGACAAGTATCCATACATCAAAGTAAAACATCCAGTCATAGCAGCGCACATTAGTGCATGATATTGTGAGTGTCCCACATTCACTTATTAGTGTCTTCACACGGTTCCACCTTCCCCAGACATGCATCTACTGAAACTATGCCATTGTTCATTAGCCATGCCACTTTGAACATTCAACCTTCCCAGCATCTTTTCACATGCAGCAGTCTCCATCATTTGAACCCTCCACCCTACACTCAGTGTAGGAGTTTGGGGAGCAGCTGAAGTTTTGAACCCTGTGCATGCTACATTGACTCTCTGTGTGTCTGACCTGCATGCGCATCTGCTTCACTAACCCACACTTAATAAAAAGTCTCTTCCAGCCTTTCTAGATTGTAAAATGAGCTCCACAAGTTTGTTTCTACTTTAGGTTTGGCATCTTAAAATAAATGATAACTTTGTTTATATAGCACCTTTTTTAAAACACAGCTACAATGTGTTTACAATCAAAACTTAAAAGACAAAGAGAATGACATTAACTATTACTCAAAAACTAAACACAGAGTAAAGTCAAATAAAATGTCTTGCAACAATAATTCAATTACAAAAAAAGCTATTATTTCAAAATCCTTTTAAAAGAAAATCCCTGAACTCCTCAAGCAGGTCATTCCAGAAGAGCCCTGGCTTCTAGGCGCCATCACCTTTGAGTTTTGGAAATAGTGACGCCCATGATTGCCACATCGAAAAGTCTCAAGGTGCAGGAAAATACAATAAGAGGTCTAATAGTAATCTCTCAGGGCTAATTCAGCTCATACTGATCATGTGAAATGATACGCTAAGTATGAAAATACAGCAAATTTGATGATGGTTCATGTTAGGGCTGTACCCGAATATTCGTTCGTTGGAGTACTATTCGGGTTTCAATTTCGTTATTCGGATTTTTCGTTTTTTTTTCAAATTGAATTGATTGAAAACTCCAATATCAAGAGCTTGTGTCTCTTCGGGGGGTGCTAACACTTAACCATAAACGTTATCGTTTACTTTCTCCGTCTTTATATGTAGATATGACTTTTTCTCCGTTAATCTCCGTCACGTTGTTTCCATAGCAACAACAACTTCCTGTCAACAGCGCTAACTCTCCTTCAAAATAAAAGCATGTCCATACAAAATAGGAAGCCAAGCCAAATTACACTTAAGACATATACAACTGCAACGAAAGTAACAAACACAATGCAATATCCTTTTCAATTTCAAAGAACACAAATTGGGTTGTATACATTAACAAATAACTATAAAACAACAATACTGTAGAATAACAAAATGAATGCCGTGAATAAACCGAAATACACGTGTTGAAGTGGTTCGCTGCTGATTACTACCGAATATCCGGAGCCCGAAAAATGGTATTCGGGACAGCCCTAGTTCATGTGAGCTCAGGTAAGCCTAAAGCAGGTCCACCCGTCTCTCTCCTCTGCATCTTATTATTATACTGCCTCATCCTCTCTGTTTGCTGCTTCACTTCACTGGCTGGCCTGGGCTGCTTCCTGTCTGTCCCTTGTCTATCATACTCTCTTTTCTCTTTCCATTCCTCCCTTTGTCTCTGTCTCTCCCTCTGTCTCCTCTCTGCCTGGTCTCACCTCCACAGTCTATTCAAACTCTTTAGGTTGCTCAGAGCCCATGGGCATGAAGTCCCGGCTGGTGACCAACCGCCAGATCACGTCGTCCAGCGCCTTCCGCACCTGGGGCATCGAGGCATTCACCTGGCACCCCCACTACGCCCGTCTGGACAAACAGGGCAAGACTAACGCCTGGACCGCAGCCACCAACAACCAATCAGAGTGGCTGCAGGTAAGAGAGGAGGACACAGCTAGCTACACATTGTTGTTGTTTATTTGCCCCATGGCTGTGTTTGTAAGAAAAAGCTGTGTCCTCAGGTTGATCTGGGGTCTACCAAGAAGGTCACAGGGGTCATCACTCAGGGGGCCAAAGACTTCGGCTCCATCCAGTTTGTCACAGCCTTCAAAGTGGCTTACAGTAATGACGGGCGGTCCTGGACCATCGTGAAGGACGAGACTACAAAGACAGACAGGGTGAGTCCAGCTGTTCTCAGAAAACATTCTAAAAAAAGGCTAAATTGATCACTATGGGAAAAACATAAGAGTTTGAATAAGTCTGTCAATTTAAAAAAAGAGAGAATAGCACCTGAAAACCCATTGACTTACAAACATAGGGGAAATGCATGGTTGCAGTGCGTGAAAAATAAGCAAATAGCATTATTTAATATGAATATAAACCATAAAATATACAATAATAATCATTCATTTAGAACAAAAATCACTGATAATTCTTAGTGGATTTTTGGGAAAGAAGTATAAAACACAATTTTTTTTTACACGCCTGGTACCAATTATTCCTGACTCTGTATGCAATCATTAATAATGCTATGAACCTGCCAAAGTACAGCAACAGGAAGTCCTTAAACTAAGGATCTGGAACATTGACAGGCTATGACTTATCCAATGAAACTTTTATAATTAAAGTTTAGGATTTTAATCAATTTTTTTATTGGATAATGTTTGCCTTGTTTATGAGCCTGTGCTAACTGTAAGGCCGTCACTGCCCTTTATTCTTATTTCATTGTGAGTTATCGAGAGGGGTTTTTCATATATATATATATATATATATATATATATATATATATATATATATATATATATATATATATATATATATATATATATATATATATATATATATATATATATATATATATATATATATATATATAGTTGTTTTCTATTTCTTATTGCCTTGGAAATATTTTCTGAAGATATATAGTTTGTTTAAAGCTTTTATTTTTTAGTATTCTTTAATAAAAAATAAAAACTGGTTTAAAATAGTCAAATGACCTACATTATGGGTTACAGAATAATGGGGAAACTAAACAAAGGTCTCAGGGTGTCCGTGGGGTCTTAAAAAGTATTAAAAGTTTATCAATCAATTTAGTGAAAATGAAGGCTATTAAAAAGTATTAAACGGCATTTTCCAAGGTATTACATTTTGTAGCTTGTTTTCAATAAGTATATAAATTGTCCAAAGAGGTTGTATTCTACAGTCTGCCTGAATGTAATCATTGCGTAGGTGTGTAGTGTGATTCTGTGTAGTTTATCTATGGCATCCCGTTGGGTTTGACGTCATCTGAACAGGACATCGCACGCTCACTGCTTGATAGCGCGTGAAGGTCCGTTTACGCCGGTTGTTAAACAACATCGTTATGGAGAAATGCAAGTTTGCGTCCAAATGGTTGGAAGATAAGGAGGAAGGACAATCAATACTGTATATAGTAAATGTGAGGTAAAGTGTGTCGCCAAGGTAACCGGTTAAAACTCCAAGTGGCGATGAGGTCTTAAAATGTATGGAAAGGGTCTTAAAAAAGGTCTTAAAAGGTATTACATTTGACTTCAGGATTCCTGCATATACCCTGTGGGTCTTTAACTCCAGTTCTTTCTAGAACTTTTCAGTTGTAACAGAAACAAGCAGCATCAACACGTTTTGTTATCAGGTTATTTAAGTCTACCATCAGCTTTGATTTGTGTCATTTTCATTGGTTGCTTTTCTCTGTCCAGATCTTCCCAGGCAACAGCGACAACAACGTTCACAAAAAGAACATCTTCGAGCCCTCGTTCTACGCCCGATACGTCCGCATCCTGCCGTGGGACTGGCACGAGCGCATCACCCTGCGGATGGAGCTCCTGGGCTGTGAAGAGTAGCCCCACACTGACCCCCCTCTTCCTCTCTCTACCTCCTCCCCCCCTTCCCTCTTCCTCCTCCTCCCCCCTTCCTCCCCCCTCCTGAGCCACACCTGCACTGCCTTGCTCTCAGCCCTAGGGGGCAGCAGACACCAGAGTAGCACAGCACCACCTGACCCTGGCTGGTTTGAAGGTGGGAGGTGTTACCCCTAACCACTGTTACCAGGGCGATGACAGTTTACAGCCTCCCCTCTTTGTTTCCTGAAGTGATCACTCTTCTTTCCACCTGAACCAAATCTGTGATCATTCCAAGAATCAAACGTTTCTCTTGATTGTCACTGAGCACAGCTGAGGTCAGATCAAACAAACATGGCCCCCTCCCTCGTCCCTGGGTCAGAGGTCAGGGGTAACGGGACTGCTGCTGCTGCTGTATCCGCTGGTGCTGCCTACACTCTGATCCTAGATCAGCTCTACCTGGAACATTAAAACCTCTGAGACCCACGGCTGGTGATGTACATACTCCACCTGACAGCTTTCTCCAGTCCTATAACCCAACCCTTCAATCAATTATCTTCATTGGAAACGCTTATGGCTAATCAAACAATATGATTACAACTTGACAAGAAACCTTTAATATCTGGTAAGAATTGTGTTGCTTTAGGTTGGAAACACTCACAAGCAAATCCAAAACATTTTTACAAGTAAATTTGCTTTATTTTTGGTACTGTTGAGTAATAATAAGTGACTCAGAATCTCAACGCGTTTCACTATTTCTACTATTTCATTGCAGAAGTTTAGAAAGTGAAATGAAAACATAAGATCTACTCTAAAGCCAACAACAGAAAATCCCACTATTTACACAAATCATGTACATATGCATATTACAACCTGACGGCTTCAGGCCAAATCAGGGCGAAGCCATCCCTTTATCCTGTGCCAACTGAACCTCAGATTGTTTTTATTTGTGTAGAAAATAATAGTTTATGGTGAGCTGATGCAGACAGAACAAAAGACTTGAACCATCACAGTCAGTTAACAGCCAGCGGAGACGCCCTCTCTGACAGACAGGATGTTATAAACAAAACAGTTTGAGATCATCATTAAACTAAAACACTTTATTGCTCTTGAGGAATGAACAATAGCCGCTGAGGGACATTTAACACGTGCTGCTGTCATCGACATCTTACAAAGGATCTTTAGAAGTCTTATTCATTCAGATAATTGTTTTCATTACACTGTCGCAGTCTTCATTTGTCATCGGCTGAGACGGCACATGTGTATCAGATTCCATGAGGTGGGTTATTTAAAAAACAAACAAAAAAAGCCACGTTTCTGGTCAGTTTACAGTTAACAAGGCTCCTCTCCAACAGGCTGTGGAGATTCTTTGGATCAGATCTGGACACTTGAAGTATTCAATCAAAAATAACTTCAGTGTCGTGTTTGTTACTAATTGGTTGGCATCATACAGGGAAGAGATTGACGCTAGCTGCAGATTTAAAAAGAATGGTGGGTGTTATCGTCTCAGGTCAAAACAGATCTGCTCCTATTGTACAGTAAATGCTACTGAAACCTATCAATACACTCACTCACACACACACACACACACACGCACACGCACACGCACACAAACACACTGCTTTGCTTCTTGTGTTCACCGGTTTTTTATGGCACTTTGATGTTTGTGTTTTGACATTTGTAATATCCCAAAAAAAAGTTATTGTTGAAGAACAAGCAGTAAACATTCATTATTACAAACTATTACAAAAAGAAGAAAAAATATACTTGCAGTTCAGTTTTTTTTGTTTTACATTAAACTGCGCTTTACGACCTAGCTTTGGTTGTGTTTTTGTAAATATGTGAGCTGCATTTAAACAGTTATTTTGTATTACAATCTGTCCATGTTAGTAGATGTTATTGTTCGATGCAGACCAGTTCTTCAGGGGCCGACATTTAGCCTCCAGTAGAAAGCTGAGGCCCCGCTGATAAGACGAGAGAAACCAAATTAAAACTGATTTTTTACGGTTCCGTCGGACATGTGACACGAACCTTCATATCTGCTTCTGCCGCCCCCCCCCCGCCGCCACAGTATTCTAAACCTTTCCACCCCATGAATTATGAATAATGGGCTTGTGCAATATTATACTGTGTTAGTTTTGATAACAATGAATATTAATTCAAGCCCCTTTAAAAAATGCATGAGGGGATAGCGGTGCCACTGAGAGGGCGAGGAAGGATGCTTGTGTCAAACACTGTTCAATATTTATTATTGTTGCAGACGCTTCCACGTTCCCCACGTCTGCATGCATTTTGTTGACTAGTGTTACAACCGATTTCTGAATTTATTGGTGACATAGCTTCATTTTCTTCTCGGTGTTCATCAACATTCAAAGTATTGTAGATATATTGTTTCCCAGGTGTTCAGGTTTTCTATTATTGATCAAAAGATATTCATGTTTTTATGGTATTGTATGAGTTCATTTCAAGATTCCTTTATGTTTGGCCTTTGTATGTTAAAATGAAGAATAAATAAAGAATTTAAAACATATAGCCTGTCCTTCTGTGTGTTTTTACTGCATGGAATATATAGTATCGCACTGCTGAATTAATTGGAGCTGTTTTCCATTTTAAAAAGGTGGAAGATCAAAAGAGGGAAAGCACTGAGGGTCCTTTTCCCTGTTTAGCATTTAAACGCCCCAGGGGCCTAATCTCTCTTTGTACCAGGTATCTGCACGTCTCCTCCTCAGCCTCATTACAGTCTGAAGGTCACACTAAAGTGGGGGAAATCCTCAGCAGGGGCTTCAATCATGAGAGAAAAGATTCATGCTGTGAAGGTTAAACGATGTTGGAGCCTCACTGTGGATCGATGTTGTGCTGCAGCGTTTCAGCACAGCAGTAACGCTTTACATAAAATGTTGCCGTGCCACCAGATGTGAGACTTTTGGTTTCCCCATTAGTAAACCCCAGACAACTGTTGTCTTACGCGATGATCTCATCTCGAACCCCTCCCAAACACACCAGCTGTTTTCCCCTCACGGAGTTGCTTGTGTTTAAAGTGTTGAGGACCTAATGACAGCTTTATCCCATTCCCCGTCCTTTCTTCCCTCCTTGTCCTTTTCTCTGCAGAGCATGAGAAGGGCACTTCTTACTAGTCCAGTATTTAAAGGACACATTGTTTTCTTTCTTTATACCGGTGCTTTAAATGACATTTTAATGGTTGGATTCACATTGTGTGGCTGTTGTACTTCAAGAAGAAACTAATTGCCTTAAAAATGCAGTTTGCTTCCTGTATGTAGTCACATTTTGTTCTATAGTTATTAATATTCATTTTAATTTTGAACTTGCAGGATTTTATTTTCACATCGTATGTTGGGAATAGGCTTATTTATTTGAGCACTTTGTTGAAAACCCCCCATAAAACCAACAATACTAGGTCTAACTTACTTTGTATGGAAAGGGATTAACGCCATATGTGACTTTTATTTTGGTTTGACCAACGTTTCTTTGAGTCAGAATTCTAACTATTCTCAGAATACTACGATTTTGTTGTTGTTTTGAGTACATTCTCAGAATTCTGTTTTTTCCCCGCAGAATTCTGAGAATAAACATTTCAGTCATTTAAAAAATCCTTTTACCAAAAACGTTCAGATGAAAGCAAGAGATTGTGACCAACGTTCGTTAACCATCAGAATACCAAGGAAAGATTTTGATTTTCGAGTTCATTCCGAGAAGAAAATATGTCCGATCAAATCATTATTTTTACCGACAAAAGGTTGTGGATTATTCAACAACTACTGCCCTATATGTTCAATGTAACTCGGATATTATCTCGCAGAGTTGTGTTGGAAAATATGTGGAATTGAATCCGTCTCGCTGCACATCCATCAGCTCCGTGTCGGCCACTGTTTGGTTTCCTGGTATGACAGCTGGCCGGGGACGAGCCAGAGGAGGCAGGAAACTGGAGGCACCACAGCGGGCTCAAACAGGAAGGATCCACTCCTGGAAAACAACTGCTATTTTAGATCCGGTATGTGTACCAACTCAGACAAAACATCTCAAGGGACGTCACCTAAAAGAGGGGAAATCCTATGTTATTTCTTCTCAAATAAATGCTCTTAACTGTGGATCTGACAGGTGATGAGTGGCTTTTATCATAAATACACTTCTTAAATGGCATTTTGTATGTTTAGTTGTTGCTAAACTTGCATCAGAGAGTAACAACAAGATGGGAAATTGTAGTGTTTACTTGTTATTACAGCTCATTTTGCTTGAAACCGTCACCCTGAGCCCTGCAGTTCACTCTCCTGTTGGTCTTTTATTGAAACCTTCCTCTAATCATTTCAGTCCCGCTGGAAACACACTCTCCCTCCCTCTCACACACACACACACACACACACACACACCTCTTTGGGGTCTGACCTCTGTATGACGAGTCTCTGCTAATGACAATGTGTGACTTCAGACACGATCACCTGCTCTGACTCAAACACAAACGCACACAGTCATCTCTTCGGGCTTCTCTGGACCTGAATGTTGCTGTTCTTGCAGAAATTACACCCCCAGTTCAGAGGGGCTGCTGGTATTTGGGGCCCCGGGCCAAAAGCTTTCATGTGGGGCTTTGGGAAGAGCAGCGGTCTGTCTCTTCAAACACACTGGGAGATAATGGCTTAGAGACACACAGGGAGGGTGGCTGAGAGCGGGGGGGGGGGAGGGCGTCGTTAACAGACACTAAGGGGGTTTAGTGGCTGTTAATTACTTATCTCTCTGCCTTTTACAATGTTATGATGGTTATTTTATTTGGGGATAAAACTAATTTACTGCATCACTATCATAGGACGACCCAGAAGTCAGCATTGCAACGGCTTCCTCGACAAAAAGCACCATGATTTTTCCATTGGATTTCAGTATAATACAGAAAATAAGCTTTGTAGCAAACAGGTTTATGACTTATTTACTTAACACGTGTTAATCAGCAGAACAATCTCCATATAGGTACAACCGTTTGTGATCTTTGAAGCATAAATGGCAGAAGAAAAAAGCCAACGTTTATAGAGAAACTACCTCATGGTGTCATGACTGTGCATCCCCAACACTAAGCTAAAGGTGGACTCATGTAGGCGTGATGACGTTTACTTGTCGTCTTTAGTAACTCGTTAGCAACCGACATTTTTCTGACACACTTATTGACTGACGTGTTTTTTGTCATCGAATAAAACGTGAAAATCTCCTCCTGTGTTAACCACAGACTTTATCTCAGGTGTCTAACTACAAAGACTTTTGAAAACCATTGTCTTCAAGACAAGGGAACCAAAAGAGTTCAAATGCAAACTCACTTCCAGGTTTGAGGACTCATTCCTGCACCACTTTATACCGTATGCCACAGGAGCAATGACCCAAGGACACTTTGCATGTAGAGGATGGGGACCGTGCTATAAGTAGACACCTATTTTTGGGGGGCTTTTTTGTTTTATTAGACCGTAAATATAGATATACCGATACGGGACAACATATAAGGCTACCAATTGCATTACAACTCTGTGGTCAGTCTTTGTACATGATGCTCATTACAAAGTTAGCTATCGTGGAGTCCACCATTTGCCAAATTTCATTGCAATCCATTCATTAGATGTAGAGATATTTGACTCATAAAAACACATGCTTAATGAAAAGTTAGAGGATTGTGAGTTAGTAGCATTCATCCTCTTGGAACCGTGAATTATAGCACTGCTTCGTGGCATCCATAGTAGTTGAAATATGTCCGTCTGCACCGACGTGGTGCACCACTCTCTCCGAGGTTCCCTGGAGAGCTGTGTTGTGGCTTAAAAGGAAATCCCAGGCAAGGAAGTGAGCCCTTCTGAACCCGTCATAGATATTTTCTTTCAAAGCAAATATTTCAGATGGAAGTGGAGAGAAGAAGGAATGAGTGGTTTCAGTGCGTCAATGATGAGTGAAGATGCAAGTATTCAAAAAATGCACCGAAATCTTAACCGTAGATTGTGTAATTCAGTTACTTTAACCTTGTTTTAGTGACAAATGCGACAATAATGTCCTATTTGTATGACTGTGTCAATGAATCATCATCTTAGCTTCCACATGGTGTAAGTTTGTTGGGAGGAACACAATGAAATTGCTGTTTGTGGTAAGAGGAGGAGTGGCAGACTCACAGTTGGTGTGGGTTTGTGGACGTACAGAAAAGAAAGTAAGAATGAAGAGAAGGAGAACAACATGATGAGTTCAGTTTAGGGGAAACCACAACTGATGAGGTTTGTTGTGATCCAGATCTGGGATTGTCTGCTACAGATTTAATCCCTCACTTAAACATTAACGTAGATTGACTGTCTGCAAGGTCACATCAAGTCAAACTGAACGTCAAGGGCCCATAAGTGTAATACCAAATCATTGTAGATCAGAGATGGCCCCCGTTTGCACAGCTAGTACAGCTAAATGTATTTGAGCAACCTAAAGGAAAGGTCATTTGACTGCTTTCCCTCGCTGTGAGACTGCGATACGATCTATGTTTCCAGCAGGGGACTAAAGCTGTGATCTATTATCCCTTCAAAGTCACCAGACTCCATCGACAAAAACAGTCATTTTGGCGATCACAGAAGATACTGCTGTCGCTATTGGTTGTCTTATTTTTTGTTATCCCTTTGAATTTTGTAAAGCAGAACTAAATACTGTTTAACCAAAGTCACACAAAAACACAAACAAACCATCTGATCAAGGCAGAATAAGTGCAGCATCTCCCAGGTGCTACAGTATGAGGTAAAATTACTGTTTTTGTCAATGGAGTCTGGTGGCTTTGAAGAGACATTGAAAAGCTTCAGATCTCAGGAAAGCTCTGACAGTAAGGTAAAGCAGTGAAATTATACCAAAAAAAGGTACACTTAAAACCATATAAACCTTTTTTAGAGTCTGCATTGCGTTGTGCTGCCAAAGAAGTTAACTGCTTTACTCCTGTTTCAGTATTTATACTTTATTCTTCAAACTATGGTCACTATCATATAACAGCCAATGGCGGTAATACACTGACTATGGATAAGGACCTCATTCAACCCCATTTCAAAACATCTGAACTCTCCCTTTAGTGTAATTTCATTTTAGAGGACGGAAGAGTATGATGGCAGAAATGTAGGAATGTGGTAAATACACAAATTCTAACCTTGATTAGTGACCACAAGTGATTTAAAATGAAACCCTCAACATCCTCGCCGTCTTCCAGCGGCTCGACATTCCCTTGATCTTGGGTTTTTGTTATTCGGGCCGGGTGTCAGTCAAGTCAGAAGAAAAACTGCAGAGCGCTGACCGCAGAGGAAGGAGTTGCGTGCAGGACTTTCAGACTTTAAATATGGTGTTGTGTAGTGTTGTGGCTCTTCTGGGGACAATAAATATCACTTTCAGGATTCACGTTGTGCTCGTGTCAGGAGGCCAGCTTCCATCTGCGCCGTGAAAACCAGCCGCTACTCAGATATTCGGGCAGCAGCTCCTTCTCTCTAGGTCCCACTGGAGAACTGGAATTGCTCTTGTTTTCCAACACGGCTGCTATTA